TCACGACGCGGGGCGGGAGGTGGATGTGAGTGACAGCCCCTCCGGCCGGAAGGGCGGAGCCCCGGCGCGCGCAGGCGCAATAGCGGAATTACGCTGCCCAGCGTGAAACTCGTCTTTTCGCGAGAACTTGCTTTTCTGGGATGAAAATTGTTTTCGAAGAGCTGTTGGTTTCAAACTATTTAGAGCTTGGAAGTTACAAGAAAGACACGGATTCGTCCCCCGCTAAGCCAGCACTTTTAAGGGATCGCTGTGGGGCCGGATGGCTTCTAGACTTCCGGGTGATTCCGGGAGATGGGGGACGCCTGGCAGTAAGCGTCTTTGCTTCTGGAAACATCTCGGATGCTTCCTAGGGTCTAGTCAATCTGGTGCCAATACAAGAATGTGTAGCTACTATACAATGGATTTTAAAGAACCCAAATCAATGGAGTGAGGAGGACATGGAGCTCACTATATAATTCTAAACCTCTCTATGTTTGTTTGTTTGTTTGTTTTGGAAATGGAGTCTAGGCTGTCACCCAGGCTTGAGTGTAGTGGCACAATGTTGGCTCACTGCAATCTGCACCTCCAGGGTTCAAGCGATTCTCCTGCCTCAGCCTCTTGAGTAGCTGGGATTACAGGCACCTTCCACTACCCCAGCTAAGTTTTGTATTTTTAGTAGAGAAGGGGTTTCACCATTTTGGCCAGGCTGGTCTCGAACTCCTGACCTGAGGTGATTTGCCTGTCTTGGCCTCCCAAAGTACTGGGATTATAGGTGTGAGCCACTGTGCCTAGCCCAAAGTCTATATTTTGTTTAATATAATTCCTTGTAGGGGAATTGTGCCTCTGGGTTTCCTTCTGTTCTGTAATACTCCTGAGGAAACAAGGGTGATTCCTTTTTATATGCTTGATTTAGATGTAAATATAAACAGAGAAGGAAGTGTTCTTCTGCAAACACAGGTTCATTTTGGACAGAATTGTCTGATAGACTGAGCATCTGGTTAAAGTAGACATAATTGAAGCATTGTTTCCTGCTTCTCATGTACAAGTAATTTTTAATACTTTGACATTTTTTTTAACTCCACCTCTACTATTTTGCTGTTTTGTGCTTGTCTTTTCTTTGGAGGGTCAGGTATTCATCAACACATATTTTTAGTATTTTGACATAACTGGGTAACAGTTGGTACTTATTTCTATTTATTTCCATTTATTTTTAAAATATCTGGTAGAGCATCAAGGCCATTAACATTTAATTTCTATTCTCTCAAATATTACCAATTGCCCCTAAATTTAAGAGAATTCTCTTAAGATGTAATTAACATTTCCAAAATTCACTTTATTCCTGTATGATTGAAAGCGCCATGATAGTGATCTTTTTCTATCCTGGTCATTGTGTCCCAGTGCCTAGTACCAGAACATGGGAGATACACAAAAAATATTTGCTAATTGAATGAAAAAATTGATCTATCTAGAAAGATCATAGTCTTAAATCCTGTAGTGATTTGTGAGAGAAAATACATTCTTTGTCACTTTAAAATGAGATAGAGCCACTTTACATACATTTCCTCTCTAGTCAAGGACAATGCTAATTGTTATGAGGTGGGGAGGTTTGCTAATAGTGTGTGTGAATGTGGTTTAGCTAGAATGAGATACTGTCGTGGGAGGAAATTAAAATGACCTGAGGTTAGTTTGGTTCTTAATGTTAATTTTAAAAGAGAAAGTATGCCCTTCCAGATAACTGTAAATTATTTCTCTTTGCTTATAATGTGTTGAAGAATGTTAGCTGACTTACCTATACCTCTTTTTCAAAGATAAAGCTTTTTCTACTACAGGCATGAGCCGCCTCGCCTGGCCATGTTTTATTTAGCCATATAAAATGTGAAGTAATTATACTTGAAAATAATCCAAATATTACTCAGCATCTTCCCTATGAGTTTTATGATGCTCAAATATTCTTATCATAGAAGTTAACTTGAAATAAATTGTATCCAATTTTTCATTTTCCAAAATTACTATATATTTTAGTTTCTAAACCTTTTTTTACATGGAATATTGCCAGACATAGTTAAAAGGATTAACTAAGGTTTTCTTAATGTATCTAACTCCTTCAGTCCTAAAATATATTTTCTGCTTTTGAGTTTAACACATTTTCTATATGTTGTTTTTAGGAGAGCAAATTATATTGACCCTAAATATTTTTTAAAATTGGGTTTATCAGTAAACATTAAGATAATCTGCTGGGTGCAGTGGCTCATGCCTGTAATCCCAGCACTTTGGGAGGCCAAGGCAGGTGGATTGCCTGAGGTCAGGAATTCAAGACCAGCCTCTCCAACATGGTGAAACCCCATCTCTACTAAAAATATTTTTAAAAATTAGCCAGGCTTGGCAGCAGGCACCTGTAATCCCAGCTACTCAGGAGACTGAGGCAGGAGAATTGCTTGAACCCGGGAAGCAAAGGTTGCAGTGAGCCAAGATTGTGCCATTGCACCCCAGCCTGGGCAACACTGGAGCAAAACTCCATCTCAAAAAAAAAAAAAAAGATAATGTGATGTGGCAGACCTCTGCCTATCACTAAGGCCTAAGGCCTCTGCCACATCACATTATCTTAATGTCTACTGATAAATCCCCAGTTTTTTTTTTTTTAAAAAAAATCCATTAGACATTCAGAAAAACTCTGAATTGATGAATTACACTCCTGTGGTTGTTCCATGGAATATCTGTGATAGTAGTGAACAAAAGATTTGGGGAGAGCAATATTCCCCGGTGTGGTAACAAGTCCTCCAAAGGCTTCCTGCCTGTCATTAAGGAGTGTGGCAATCAGGTTATTAATAATTGTGTATGTTTGAAAATTCCATTTAATACCCTTTCTAGTTCCTTAAAGGGCTCCAAAGTATAAGCAGCCCTTTAATACACTTTTTAGTTCTTTAAAGGGCTGCTTATACTTTGGAGGTTAAATTATGGGTGATAGGAGAAATCCTGCTTATATTTAGGAGGTAGAAAATTATAGGGGTGAGGAAATAGCAAATACCACAGAAAAACCAACTTACATATTGCTATATCACCATATATTTTAAAGGTAAAAAGGCTAACTAAAAATATATGGCAGTTCCTGTATCTAGTAGGATGTTTTCTATAGGAAAAACATTAAAATCTAATTTACTCTGGTTTAAACGGTAAGAAAATCTATGATCCCAAAAAACAGGTAGTCCAGCGCAGCTTTGTCCAATAGAAATATAATGTGGGCCACAGATGGTGAGCCACAGATGTGATTTTAGATTATCTGGTAGCCACATTCAAATAGCAAAAAGAAACAGGTGAAACTTCAATAATTTTAATCCAGTATATCTAAGATATAATTGCAACATATTTTTACAATAATGTAAATATATTAATAATACATTTTACATTCTTGTTTTGTACTAAATCTTCAACACCTAGTGTGTGTTTTGCACTTACAGCACATCTCAGTTTGGACTAGCTGCATTTCAAGTTCTCAGGGACCACATGTGGCTGGTTGTTACTCTAGTGGACAGGCAGGTCTAGAAGTTTCAGTGCCTCTAGGCCAGATACAATCATGGTATAGCACAAATTGTTTTTTCTTCCTAATTTTGAAGAATAAGCACTTATTTATACTTTTTCTATTATTGTTTCAGCTCTGCTTTCCTCTCCTTGTAGAATTCCAAAGGCTGCAGTCACAAGATACCAGCCAGCAGCAATAACTGGAGAACTTTCTTCCTTGTCCGTGACAAGAGAGTCACTCTCCCCAAGCAGTCTTTCAATCCAATTGGACCAACTTAGGCCATGTTCCTATTCTTGGCTCATTAATACTCACTAGGGAAATACCCTAAGCCTGTGTTTCTGAAAACGGGGAGAGGTGAAGAGACATTTGGTAATGTCTGGAGATATTTATGGTTGTCACAACTGTGGGGGGTGGGTCCTACTGGTATCTAGTACATAGAGGCCAGGGATACTGCTGAACATTCTACAAGGCACAGAACAGCTCCCCACCACAAAGAATTATATGGCTCAAAATAGTATCAAGGTTGAGAAACCCTGCTTATTATTTTAAGTCTGTATTCCTAACTAAGCACTGTCAAGAGGATGAGATTATCATTATTAGATTAAATTTATCAGACCCTACTACAGCTCTGAATAGGTTCTGCTTCCCTAGGTACATGAAGGGTGAAAACCTAAACTAAAAGGAAGTGTTACAGGAGGAAAAAGGGCATGAACAACCAATAGTATCCATAAATGAGCTGATTATTTTTGTAATTACAAAAGTATATATCTATTTTTAAAGTATGGATAAGCATCGAATGTAAATTCTTTATATCAGTAGTTACATAATGCAGTTACTCAATTTTACATTTTTATCAGTATTTTCCACCTTTTATAGTGAAATTTTCTCCTTTAATATATTGAATTTACAGTGAATTTTTTATAATAATTTTTTACAGTGGATAATTTCTTGAGTAGGCATTTTCATGAAAAATAAGTTTCAATAGTGTGTCATCTTGAAAAGAAAACATCAAGAGGGAAAAATTTGTAAGAATTCTTAGTCGAATTTTAATGAATTTTAGTATGGGTGCGGTGGCTCACGCCTGTCATCCCAGCACTTTGGGAGGCCAAGGCGGACGAATTACCTGAGGTCAGGAGTTCGAGACCATCCTGGCCAACATGGCAAAACCCCGTTTCTACTAAAAATACAAAAATTAGTCGAGCATCATGGCGTATAGCTGTAGTCCTAGCTACTCGGGAGCCTGAGGCAGGAGAATTGTTTGAACCCTTGAGGCGGAGGTTGCAGTGAGCCGTAATCACGCCACTGCACTCCAGCCTGGGTGACAAAGCAAGACTCTGTCTCAAAAAAAAAAAATAAAATAAGAATTTTAATAAAACGTTTGCATTAAATTTTGTGAAATGATGATTTTGTTAATATTTTATCAAAAATAATGATTTGCACCCTTCTTAGTAAAGCAGCTGGTATTTTAAAATATGTCTTGAGAAAAAAGCCGATACAGTCTCTTGTGAGGACCTTGAAAACTAACCTGCTAGGGATATCATACTGGGCCTCTGGGTGCCGCTGTCCGCCAATCCGTGGCTGGAGGGAAACAAAGCAATCCACTGACGCAGCAGTCCCTGCAGGCTTTTTAGAAACACCATAGGAGAGGACTCTGCCTGCTGTCTCTCTCGCAATCTGCTCCAAATATCTTGGTCAGGAATCTCACGATGTCTAGTGACCCAGAGTGAGGAGCTGCCTTTTATTCCTGAGCATCGCAGGGAGCAGGAAGCAGGGAGCAACGGTAGAGAGAGGTATTCGGATCTGAGTACCAGCAAGAAGAAGAAACAGAGGAAGAAGTCCCCCATAAGGAAGGTGTGAGGAGTGCAGGAATCGCTGTTTCCCTGCCTGAGGTCTTTATTCTACGTAGCTGATACGCTGTAAGATTCTGGAAGAGAAGGCTAGGGGTTGAAAGGTTGGTAATCTCTCAGAAGATCTGTGTCTCGGTGACGGGAAAAACTACGGGTAAGTGCTGAGAAGCCTCTCTTTACATACAGCTGGAGAATGAGCCAGAGAGGAGCTTGAGAATGACAGGATAGATCTAGCAGTTATGCCCAAGGAAGACCCTCGGCCATTTGAATTTGAAGGTACTGAAAAATCATATAAATGTTTTTCATACAAACGTATGCATCTTGGATATAAATAAAATGGCTTTTAGCACACGTTTTGGAAATTCTGGAAAACATCTTAATAAGAGGAACTTTTACTCTTAAGCCCGCAGTAGATTTTGAACACTGGCAGTAACTCTGTACAAATATATCAGATTAATTTTAATAGCCATCTCCTCTTCCCCTAGAAGTAAAGGAGAGTACTACAGCAGTATGTACTCTGAATTGCTGCTATTGAAGAATCCCTGAGCCTGTGCAGTGGGGCACTCCTGTGGTCCCTGTTACTCAGGAGGCTGAGGCAGGAGGATTGCTTGATGCCAGCTAGAGGCTGCAGTGCGCTATGAGCACAACTGTGAATAGCCACTGCATTCCAGCCTCAGTAACATAGCCAGACCCCATCTCTTAGAAAAGAAAAGAAAAGAAAAGAAAAGAGAAAAGAAAAAAAAAAGAAACCCTGAACCAGAGGAGCAGAGCTGCCACCATTTAGTGATGGGGAGGGGGCAGAACAGCTCAGGGCAAGACACAGGCCTTGGATGCCAATGCCAGTCATCAGATATTGAGCAATGTGTAAGTGGGGTTAGCCTGCAGGAGAACATGCCCACCACCTCCTCCTCTTCATTCTTCAGGTGATCCCCAATGACCTAGACAATATCTTCAATATAGAGTTCTCCTGATCTTTCTACACAATTTTACAGGGCATACAGAATATATTTCCTGTCCAATAACGACAGAAATACTTGATTCTGAAGAGTAACAGTTACAGCATGGAATATAAGACTGGAGGCAGTTTGAGGGCCCACTTCAGAGTCCTGGTTGAAATGAATGCAGTCAGTGCAGGTGACTTTCAGTTCGGCATCTAGTCCTATCAGAGGTAAGAACTGTGGTTGCCCTAACCAAAACAATAGGACTAAGAGACCTTAAATGAAAGATGAAAATTATTTTAGAGAGAAATGATCATACTGGCAAACAATTCACCTCCAAGAATTATGATGTAATTCTTTGTCAGCTACTCACAGATGGAATTCTAAACTGGTAGCAGACCCTGAAGGACAATGTCACCATCAGAACCACCAACAAGGACAAACTGTCCCTCTCCTGCATCACCCTGCATATCATCGGCATCCACAAAAATGCTCATTCTTCAACAAGCCTCCTATTTCTTTTGGGTGACTGGGAACACTACCCAGAACCTCCATCACATACTTTAGCACTTCTCACCCTGACTTAGGGTCCCATATGCCTCCTGTTTCTTCTTGACCAGTGACCTGCCACTGTGGGCACTGTCATTCTGCATGTCAGTGAGTGCAAAGTGCTGTGGTGTTCATGCAGACTATCTTTGAGCTGACTCTGCGGGCCAGTGACCAGGGTTCAACTTGCTCAGTGTCATCCTGAACTTGCATGTGATGGTGGATAACCATTGTGAAAATGCAAGGACACTACGCCAGGAGTTACAACCAGGTGGGGCCCTCTTTGATGCTACACCACTCACAATGCAACCGAGCTATCCCATCACCAAAGTGGACACCAGCTGGGGCACAAAGGCTGACTGTCCTATCGTGCTTCAGGTCAGCTAATGTGGCTCTTCAAACTAGGGATGTGCACGAGCTAGATGCGTGCTGTGTCACTGTGGGTAACAGATATGCAACCTGCCAAGGTTTGTTGGTCACCATGCTCAATGGTGAATCATCACGCTGTACCTGGTTGCTGCTCACAGTTTGCAGGAGTTGCTGCCAGACGTCAGCAATCACCCAGCACCCAACAGCAGGCAACAGACAGCACCCAACAGCTGTAGTTTAACCTGGGATGGCCTTTGCCTTGATCTCCATGCTATTTCTCCTCAGTGTGACTCTGGCCATCTTTCTGAACCTGCAATGCCCTCTATAGCCCCATTGCCTCGGGCTGCTTTCAGCCAGATCTCTGGTCCAAGCCTGGATATGGAGTTGTCTCCAACTTAAAGGAAGGAAATTTGCCGTGTTCCTACAACGTATGTGTGGCTTTAGATATTTTTAAAATCTTAATGTCTTTAAATTAACTCAAGAAACAGCTTTCAACCAGATATTCTCTGCAGTGCCAGCTATGAAGCTTTGTTTTGTTTTGTTTTTGTTTTTGTAGAAACGGGGTTCACTATGTTGATCAAGCTGGTCTCAAACTCCTGGCCTCAAGTGATCTGCCCACCTTGGCCTCCTAAAGTGCTGGGATTGCAGGCATGAGCCACTGTGCCTGGCCAGCAATGAAGCTTTAAATGTTACATTTGATTCAAATGTATTTGTGTGATATTTTAACATTTTTATTTTATACTTATCATCCTTTTATAAATCACTCCTGCGTGTTTTTGGTTGCTGAGAGTAGGGAGCCCTACAGGTTTACTTGCTAGTTCTTATGTATATTTTAATTTGCCTTATTAGCTCACAGTTTCTTTGGGGAAAAGTTTGTGCCTATTAATGTGTATTCTGGAAAGTTACGTTCTCTGTTAAAGAGTTCCTTCCTTGCAGTATCAAAGGTGATTTATTGCATCTTTAAATTTCTACTCTTTGGCTCCATATACTTGTCTTTGAGAAGCTGAGAAACTGTAGATTTAGTTATATAAGAACTAAAATTCTCTTTCCAAAAACTATTCTTGAGACCTTTCGTTGTTTTCTTTCTTTCCTTATTTTTAACTTTTCTCAGTCATGGTGTCATTGGGTTGGCTCGCTCAATTTGTTCCTGAAGATATCAGACTCTGGAGTGCGGATAGCATGCTTCTCTAACTTTGGGGTAAAGATAAGTAAGTCACTCTAAGCCTGAGACATTTTAATTAGTAACCCTTTGCTAATACTGCAGTGATTAAAAGAAAGAAGGCCACATCCTCATCTTAACTGGTTTAAAAGTACTGTTAGGAGAAAACCAACTTCTCTTGGAGAAAATATTAAGCACAATTACAGGGGAATACATGTTATAAGAGACAATCTAAAAATAAAGATGAGACCATTTTTCTTTTCAGCTGTGAAGAATAATATCATAGACTTTGACTCTGAAATTTGAAATCTAAATTATATATTCATGTGACTTTTCAATGAAATTCCAAGAGCCCAGTTTTTTCTTTTTCAAAATGTATTACCTTTGGGTGAATCTTAAGAATTTTTTAAAACCTACATAATGCAAAGACACTTCAAAAAAAGAAGAGGAAAAATAAGGATATGGTTAAACCATGCCCTTCAAAATCCCAAGGTTTCTGATTGTTCAAATCGTAATGGGAAGGAAATGAGATGGTACAATTTTTTAAAGTCTAGCTTATATTCTAAAAGATTATCTTTCCCTCCAAGACTTTTCATCCTCTAGTCAAAGGAGAGCTGCTCTATGTGGCCTGGGAAATTATCAAGTGGTCAAGCTTTACTACAGAAAAGGTGGAGAGATGATTTTATCCTCATTGTGATGTTAGGTTTTTACTATCATTCCCTGAATAGCAAACAAGGAAAGCAGATAGCATGAAAATACTAAGATTCTCCTGTATATTTCAATTTGGTGACATTTAGGCACATTTAAGGAAGTGAACATATAGTTTCTCCTTTTCATACATATATTGTAGAATGATTTCCTTGACAATAGACTAAAACTTAAGAAAATATTAAGTTAATGAGAAAGTTTTAAGTATTTTCTAGGAATGCAGTAACTGGTTAGGACTCTGGGTGCCGCTGTTCACTAATCTGGTAGATACAGGCAGTACACACACTTCAGGAGGAGGGGGGAAAAAAAAAGCTCTTGTGCCTCTTAGAACCTCCATAACCGCCAGATTGAAAACAGACTGTCCAAGACTGCCTAAATCCTACTTCTGGATGACTCCCCACTCAGAATTCTCCTGAAAATTGGGTTAATTTCAGCTCAGAAAAGCAGAAACGATACCCTTGGTACTGGACTGGAAGAAAACTACGAAGTGAGAGAGCCATGAAGATTCAGAAAAAGCTGACCGGCTGCAGCAGGCTGATGCTTCTGTGTCTTTCTCTGGAGCTGCTGTTGGAAGCTGGGGCTGGGAATATTCACTACTCAGTGCCGGAAGAGACAGACAAAGGTTCCTTCGTGGGCAACATTGCCAAGGACCTAGGGCTACAACCCCAGGAGCTGGCAGATCGCGGAGTCCGCATCGTCTCCAGAGGTAGGATGCCGCTTTTCGCTCTGAATCCTAGAAGTGGCAGCTTGATCACCGCGGGCAGGATAGACCGGGAAGAGCTCTGCGCTCAGCGCATGCCATGTCTCGTGAGTTTTAATATCCTTGTTGAGGATAAAATGAAGCTTTTCCCTGTTGAAGTAGAAATAATTGATATTAATGACAACACTCCCCAATTCCAGTTAGAGGAACTGGAGTTTAAAATGAATGAAATAACCACTCCAGGTACCAGAATCTCATTGCCATTTGGACAAGACCTTGATGTGGGTGTGAACTCACTCCAGAGCTACCAACTCAGTTCTAACCCTCATTTCTCCCTGGATGTGCAACAGGGAGCCGATGGGCCCCAACATCCAGAGATGGTGCTGCGGAGTCCCCTAGACAGAGAAGAAGAAGCTGTCCACCACCTCATCCTCACAGCTTCTGATGGGGGTGACCCAGTCCGTTCAGGGACCCTCAGAATTTACATTCAGGTGGTGGATGCAAATGACAATCCTCCAGCATTTACTCAGGCACAATACCATATGAATGTCCCTGAAAACGTGCCATTGGGCACTCGACTGCTCATGGTAAATGCCACCGACCCTGATGAGGGATCTAATGGGAAAGTAACGTACTCCTTTCACAATGTAGACCACAGAGTGGCCCAAATATTTCATTTAGATTCTTACACAGGAGAAATATCAAATAAAGAACCACTAGATTTCGAAGAATACAAAATTTATTCAATGGAAGTTCAAGCCCAGGATGGTGCGGGGCTCATGACTAGAGCTAAGGTACTGATCAAAGTTTTGGATGTAAATGACAATGCCCCAGAAGTGACCATCACCTCTGTCACCACTGCAGTTCCAGAAAACTTTCCTCCTGGGACCATAATTGCTCTTATCAGTGTGCATGACCAGGACTCAGGAGACAATGGCTACACCACATGTTTCATTCCTGGAAATTTACCCTTTAAATTGGAAAAGTTAGTTGATAATTATTACCGTTTAGTGACTGAAAGAACACTGGACAGAGAACTTATCTCTGGGTACAACATCACAGTAACAGCAACAGACCAAGGAACTCCAGCTCTATCTACTGAAACTCACATTTCACTGCTAGTGACAGATATCAATGACAACTCCCCAGTCTTCCATCAGGACTCCTACTCTGCCTACATTCCCGAAAATAACCCCAGAGGAGCCTCCATCTTCTCTGTGAGGGCCCACGACTCGGACAGCAATGAGAATGCACAAATCGCTTACTCCCTAATAGAGGACACCATCCAGGGAGCACCCCTATCTGCCTACGTCTCCATCAACTCCGACACTGGGGTCCTGTATGCGTTGCGATCCTTCGACTACGAGCAGTTCCGGGACTTGCAACTGAAAGTGATGGCGCAGGACAGTGGGGACCCGCCCCTCAGCAGCAACGTGTCGCTGAACCTGTTCGTGCTGGACCAGAACGACAATGCGCCCGAGATCCTGTACCCCGCCCTCCCCACAGATGGTTCCACAGGAGTGGAGCTAGCGCTCCGCTCCGCAGAGCCCGGCTACCTGGTGACCAAGGTGGTGGCAGTGGACAGAGACTCGGGCCAGAACGCTTGGCTATCCTACCGCCTGCTCAAGGCCAGCGAACCGGGACTCTTCGCGGTGGGGCTGCACACGGGCGAGGTGCGCACGGCGCGAGCCCTGCTGGACAGAGACGCGCTCAAGCAGAGCCTCGTGGTGGCCGTCCAGGACCACGGCCAGCCCCCTCTCTCCGCCACTGTCACGCTTACTGTGGCCGTGGCAGACAGAATCCCCGACATCCTGGCCGACCTGGGCAGCCTCGAGCCCTCCACCAAACCCAACGATTCGGACCTCACTCTGTACCTGGTGGTGGCGGTGGCCGCGGTCTCCTGCGTCTTCCTGGCCTTTGTCATCGTGCTGCTGGCGCTCAGGCTTCGGCGCTGGCACAAGTCACGTCTGCTGCAGGCTTCGGGAGGCGGCTTAGCGAGCGTGCCCGGCTCGCACTTTGTGGGCGTGGACGGGGTTCGGGCTTTCCTGCAGACCTATTCCCACGAGGTCTCCCTCACTGCGGACTCGCGGAAGAGCCACCTGATTTTCCCCCAGCCCAACTATGCGGACACGCTCATCAGCCAGGAGAGCTGTGAGAAAAAGGATTTTCTATCAGCACCCCAGTCTTTACTTGAAGACAAAAAGGAACCGTTTTCTCAGGTAAACTTTTGTGATGAATGTATAAGCTATCTAGAGAAAAATAATTCTTGATTTAACTTACTTGCATTCACTCTTTACTACAGATAGTTCTTCTAACCCATGTATCTTTATGGCTTTTTATTACAAGTCCTGGAAAATCACGATTAAGTGAGTCTACACGTTCATATGCAGGTATATTTATAATTGTTCTTGCATTGAAAAGGAGACTGTGATCATAATGTAAGTGGTTGGGTTGAAGGTATGTGTGAGATGCCATCTCTGTCTGGAAGGAGCACTGCATTAGAAACAGGGTGATTTAGCTTCTAACATTTTCTTACTTGCCTCTGGGTTAAAGGGTTTGATTAGAAAAGGCTCACCAATATTTAAATGTCTAATACTATTTTCAAATTTTCTTGTTATAAATACCTGCTAATTTACCCCGGAATTTAATGTAGACGTCATCTGTCAGTACACTGTGATATTTTATTTGGGGACATTTGAAGAGGTGAAGATTGTCTAAAGTAGTATTTTTAATTGTGTTCATATAAGATTATAGGGATCTATATAAACTGCAATTTTAAATTATTGTTGAATATTTGAGCCCTTTATTCTATCTTTATTATCAGATTTTTTTAAGTTTTGAGACAGGGTCTTGCTGGAGTGCAGTGGCGTGATCATGGCTCACTGCAGCCACTACCTCTTGGGCTTAAGTGATCCTCCCACCTCAGCCTCCCAAAGTGCTGATATTACAGGTGTGAGCAGTGGTGCCTGTACTGAAGAATACATCTATTTAAGTAATTTATGAAGTAACAAAGTGAACAACAGAAAATTTATCGTGCAACTTGAGAAACAGCTTTGAAGCCTCCTGACTTATACATTATACCTGTAATGAAATCAACTAACAAAAATCAAGTATACATCCTACTTTAATGTGTATTAACTTTTCAGAAGAAAAAAAAAGCATGGTCGGGGAGTAAGTCCATGCTTTTTTATATTTACTCTGATCCAATAAAATACAGAGATACATAAAATATAAGAGGAAAGCAAAAGCAAAGTGGTTAGCTGGTCTGAAGCCATGTGAGTTATAGTCTTGGACTTAAAAGAAGAAATTGAAGGTTAGGAAACTGCCTCCAACAATGTAATAGGGACAGAAGTGCTTCAGACTAGATAAATGACCTGGACCAGGCTTACTGCCTGAATCCAAAACAAGCAATGAGGCCCTTCAGCTGGTTAAAAAGGAAGAGAAAGATGCATGAACATGCTGCCTAGCTGGGCGCAGTGGCTCACGTTTGTATTTCCAACAATTTGAGAGGCTGAGGCGGAAAGATCCCTGGAGCCCTGGAGTTCAAGACTAGCCAGACACGGTGGCCTGCAACTGTAGTCCCAGCTACGCGGGGCGGGGCGAGGCGGGGCGGGGCGAGGCGGGGCGGGGCGGGCCGGCGCAGGTGCTGATGTGGCGGGATCGCTTGAGCCCAGGAAGTCAAGGCTTCAGCGAACCGCGATGGCGCCACTGCACTCCAGCCTGGGCAACAGAGCCACACCATGTTAAATAAGTAAATAAATAAATAAATAAAAATAGAAGCTGCCGCCCAATTCGTGTGGTTATAGCTTTCTTGGTAAGCTGTGTAGACCAAGAGAAAGAGACAGACACGGATGCTGGATAGAGACAGCGAACACCAAGTATCTCTCATGTGAGCTGTGGTATCCAGAATATCACTGCTGGGTATCATTAAAGCGTCATTAAGAGACCCAGTTATGGCCTGGGACCTGAGGTCAGATAGAAATTATTTATTTCAAAACCATTATAAATGAGCACTGAACCCAGGAGGGAAGGAGACAGGGACATAGTGTAGAAAAGAAAAAGAAACTAAAACTGAAAATAAACAGAGCTCTTCCACTAAAAATAAATATACAAACCAAAATTTCAAAACACACATGTCTCGTAGAATTTATTGCTGCCAGTAAGAAACTTTCAACAAACTCTTATATTTTAAGGTAATCTCTGTTTTTTCTCTGATAACCATTGAAGACTTTCTCTCATTCTTGCTGTGTGTCTGTTGCATTTTTATTTTTATTTTTTGCTTGGTACCAAGAGTATACTCTCAATTGATAGCTAAGTTATCTCAGTTCTGGACTTTCTCAGCTCTTATAATCATAACTTTTTTCTGTGTATATACAAGTGAGCTACATTTACCTATTAAAGGACAAATATTACAAAATTAGTTGATTTTTAAAATCCATATTCTAATAATACATATACTTAAAAATACACTGAAACAGTAAAACTAAATATGTATGTATGCACACAGAAAAAGAAAGCAGTCATGTTAATATTAATATAACAACAAAGTTGTATTTAAGGTAACAAACACAAAATGTGATTTTAAAAAATGAACTGATTATAGTTGTAAAAAGAACAGATGATCAAAAGAATATAAAAATATGAGCTTCTATTACCAAAAAATGTAGCTTAGAAAATACCAGGATATTTTAACATAATTCCATAAGAAATAATAGACCCTACAGGGAGAAAGTTCGTTAATATACAGAAGATCTAAACAACATAATTTATAAGGTTGATCTATTAGGATTCTAATAGATCTGTTCTACACACAACAAATATGGAATAGTCATCCTTGAACAGATAGACAATCTACAAGTTTATTATCTAGTCATTACAAAAAAGGGTTCAGCGAATTCCAAAGTACCAATAATATACTTGCCTTACAACACATACTTAAATCACAAAGCAAACATTTAAAAATAGAAAAGGGGGAAAAAGTTTGGATATTTACATCCACACCCTTAAATAACCCTTGGATTTCAAAAATCACAATGACAATGACAACTACTCAGAAGAGAAGGATTTAAATATTATTTATTAAAAATTGTGAGATGCAGCTAAAACTAATTAGGAGTAAGTTTATAGACAAATGCAATAATTTTTTTTTAAAAACAAACAAAATTCCTTTTTTTTTTTTTTTTTTGAGACGGAGTCTCGCTCTGTCGCCCAGGCTGGAGTGCAGTGGCCGGATCTCAGCTCACTGCAAGCTCCACCTCCCAGGGTCATGCCATTCTCCTGCCTCAGCCTCCCAAGTAACTGGGACTACAGGCGCCCGCCACCTCGCCCGGCTAGTTTTTTGTATTTTTTAGTAGAGACGGGGTTTCACCGTGTTAGCCAGGATGGTCTCGATCTCCTGACCTCGTGATCCGCCCGTCTCAGCCTCCCAAAGTGCTGGGATTACAGGCTTGAGCCACCCCGCCCGGCCAAAATTCTTTAAAATACATGAATTTAGCTTGCCATTTAAGAAGATAAAAAACACATAATGAGTATATACTAAAATAAAATGATGCAAAAAATAACAAAGAGATACATTTTTGAAATGCAACCATGGAAGAATTCTGAGGATGAAGTAACAGAAGCAGACAAAAAATGTTATAGTAAAACCAGTGGGGAGAAAATGAAAATTCTGTCAAGTCTAATGTTAGGACTCATTTAAGAGAGCCAGGCACAATGGCATATCTAGAATCCCAGCTATTGAGTAGGCTGAGGCAGTAGGATTGCTTGAGCCCAGGAGTTTGAATCCAGCCTGGGCAGTATAACAAGACCCAACCTCTATAAAACAAAACAAACACAAACACAAAAATAAAAATTAAAAAACCAAAGCAAGATATACCATAGTAACTCTACAAGAAAACATGGTTGGTATCAATTATTTCCAATACATTTTTCTTCAGTCTTCTAAGAGGAATGGATGAAAGTAAAAATGAGAAAATTTCAACAAGGAAGGAGTCAAAAGGCAAACAGACTAAAGGGTCACCAGAAATGGGCAATTCCACTTATACCACTTACAAAAATTAATTCAAAATGGATCAAAGAAGCAATATTCAGAAGCAATAAAACCCTTTTAGCTATTACGTTTAAGAACTAAAACTATGCAACTGTCAGAAGAAAACAGGAGGAAACCTTCATAACATTGATTTTGGCAATGATTTCTTGGATATGACACCAAAAGCACAAGCAACAAAAGAAAAATAAAGGTATACTGGACTTTATCACAATTAAAAACTATGTGCAGCAAAGAACAATATCAATAGAGTGAAAAGGCAGCCCACAGAATGAGAGAAAATATTTCCAAATCATATATCTAAGAATGGATATCCAGAATAAAGAACTCCCACAATTCAACAACAAAACCTCCCAAACAATTGGATGTTAAAATGAGCAAAGGACTTGAATAGACATTTCTCCAAAGATGATATACAAATGGCCAAAACCATATGAAAAGATGTTCAACATCACTAGTCATATGTTCAACATCACTAGTCATTAGGGAAATGCAAATCAAAACCGTAATGAGATACTACTTCACATTCGTTAGAATTGCTGTCATAAAAGAAAAGAAAATAAGTGTTAACAAGAATATGGAGAAATTGGAATTCTTGTGCATTGCTGGTGAATATAAAATGATACAACTGCTGTGGAAAATGGTATGGTGATTCCTCAAAAATTTAAACATAGGATTACCATATAATCCAGCAATTCCACTCTGGTTATTACCCAAAAGAAGTGAAAGTAGGGACTTCAACAGATATTTGTACACCTATGTTTATGGCAGCATTAGTCACAATAGTTGAAAAGTGGAAGTAACCCAAGTGTCCATTGACAGATGAATGGGTAAACAAAAAGTGGTTCACAAATACAATGGACTATTATTCAGCCTTAAAAAGGAAGGGAATTCTGTTACATGCTACAATATGGACGAACTTCAAAGACATGTTGTCAAGTGAAATAAACCTGTCAAAAAATGACAAATACTGTACAATTCCTCATATATGAAGTTCCTAGATTAGTCAAACTCATAGAGCAAAAGGTAGAATGGTAGCTGCCAGGGACTGGGTGAAAGGCAATGGGGAGTTACTATTTAATAAGTACAGAGTTTCAGTTGGGGAGGATGAAAAAGCTCTGGAGGTGGATGGTGGTAATGATCACACCAGAATGTAATTTGAATGTACTTAATGTCACAGAATTGTATGCTTGACAATGGTCAAAATGATAAAGATAAAACAGGAGTAAGACGACATCCACTGCATTGTATTTTACACCCTTGGAAAATGAATATCAGAAAAAGAACTTGACAACCTCAAACAATTTTAAGTGACTGATTCCAAAATCCCCTTCCAACTCTAGCTTTATCAAATAGATCTGCTTTCCACTTCTGTAATGTTCCATGCTGTCTCTCACCTTCAAGCATTTATTCTGAGGTTCTAGAACAATTCTTCAGCCTTTTTCTTGATTCAATCCTACTTTTTAGGATTCAGCTTCAATCATGCCCTCAAAAAGACTCTTCTGACTCCAAATCTAGACTGGATACCCTTCCCAGGTATTTCTCCATCACCCAGTGTTTCTTACCTCATATCATGGCAATTACACTCTCTTTACTTTATTCTATTACACTCTCATTACTCTATTACACTCTCTTTACTTTCTTATGTCCTCCTCCAACCTTCATGCTTGAGACCAGGGCCTGTGTTTATCATGTTTACCATTTCTATCTCCAGCCCCAGTCATGCAAAGTGGGAGGCACATGTACCCAACTAAGTGTCTGATGATTCAATAATTTAAAGGCAGATTTTGAAGGTAAATGCTAAGCCATCAACCACAAAAGTTCAAAATATATAACCTTAGAAGAAAATGTAGCTAACGTTTCTTAATTGATCTTACTGCTTCTGATTATACAATAAGAGATGGAAGATGTTTGTAGCAAGAGCAGTGGTGGCATTGATTAATGCCTTGAGCAGTCAATAATACTTTCCTAGCAACTATTATCAAGGTCATGTTCATTTATACCAGTCTTATTAATCCTGATAAAAAAGATTCCTGTTTTGAAAGATCTAATTCTACGGTATCTTAGAGCTGTAAGATTCTTTAAAGCACCTTGAAAGTCAACAAAGGCAAACAAAGAAGAAGTAACTTAAGTTTTCCCGAGCAGGTGCAGAAATTATTTAGGCCTCTGAGCGTCGCTGTTGACCACCTAAGGAGTAAAAAGCAGCAAAGCCAACCAATCCAGCAACACGCCTCCCGCAGCACAACAGGCTGGAGGTTTGGCCCTAAAGCTTCAGGGCACCAAAGAAATTCAGTCGAACAGCCCACCATTTGTCTCCATAGGGACCTGGGTCCTGTGAATGCTGGTCATCTCACAGCCTGAGGAATAAAGATTGGAATCCGCACTGAATGCTGGAAGTTGACTCGGAGAAAACTGCGACAGGAAGGAAATGGCGGCTCTGCAAAAGTTGCCACACTGCAGAAAACTGGTCCTGTTGTGCTTCCTTTTGGCGACCCTGTGGGAGGCCAGGGCTGGGCAGATTCGCTATTCTGTGCCAGAAGAGATCGACAGAGGCTCCTTCGTAGGCAACATCGCCAAGGACTTGGGTTTGGAGCCCCTGGCACTGGCAGAGCGGGGAGTCCGCATCGTCTCCAGAGGTAGGACCCAGCTCTTTGTTCTGAACCCGCGAAGCGGCAGCTTGGTCACTGCGAGCAGGATAGACCGGGAGGAGCTCTGCGCTCAGAGCGCACCGTGTCTGTTGAATTTTAACATCCTGCTGGAGGACAAATTGACTATTTATTCAGTAGAGGTGGAAATAACAGATATTAACGATAATGCCCCTCGCTTTGGAGTAGAGGAACTGGAGCTAAAAATCAGTGAAACCACTACGCCAGGATTCCGGATTCCTCTTAAGAATGCGCATGATGCGGACGTAGGTGAGAACGCCCTTCAGAAGTATGCACTCAACCTAAATGATCACTTCTCCCTGGACGTGCGAAGAGGAGTTGATGGGAACAAGTACCCAGAACTGGTGCTGGAGCGCGCTCTGGACCGCGAGGAAGAGGCTGTTCACCACCTCGTTCTCGTGGCTTCTGATGGGGGTGACCCAGTGCTATCTGGCACCTCCCGCATCTGCGTGAAGGTCCTGGATGTGAACGACAACGCGCCTGTTTTTACACAGCCCGAGTACCGCATAAGCGTTCCCGAGAATACGCCTGTGGACACCCGGATACTCACGGTGACCGCCACTGACGCAGATGAGGGCTACAACGCTCAAGTGGCATATTTTCTAGAGAAAAGCCCTGGAGAAACCTCAGAGGTATTTGAGCTTAAGTCAACATCTGGAGATCTGACAATCATGAAAGATCTAGATTATGAGGATGCTACATTCCATGAAATTGATATTGAAGCTCAGGATGGTCCGGGCCTTCTAACCAGAACGAAGGTTATCATTACGGTTCTGGACGTGAATGACAATGCCCCAGAATTTTACATAACATCTGCTACTAGCTCAGTTTCTGAAGACTCTCCTCCAGGAACCGTAATTGGGCTTTTTAATGTACATGATAGAGACTCTGGGCAGAATGCATTCATCACCTGTTCACTCCCTGAGAATCTTCCCTTTAAGTTAGAAAAGTCAGTGGACAATTACTACCGACTGGTTACAACCAGAGCCCTTGACAGGGAACAGTTTTCCTTTTACAACATCACTCTAACCGCTAAAGATGGAGGGAACCCCTCCCTGTCCACGGATGCTCACGTTTTGCTGCAGGTGGCAGACATCAACGACAACGCACCCGCCTTCTCCCGCACATCCTACTCCGCCTACATTCCTGAAAACAACCCCAGAGGAGCCTCTGTCTTCTCAGTGACGGCCCATGACCCCGACAGCAACGACAATGCTCATGTAACTTACTCTTTCGCGGAGGACACTGTTCAGGGGGCACCCTTATCCTCTTACATCTCTATCAACTCTGACTCTGGAGTCCTCTATGCACTGCGCTCCTTTGATTACGAGCAGTTTCGAGACTTGCAACTGTGGGTGATGGCGCGGGACAGCGGGAACCCTCCACTCAGTAGCAATGTATCAGTAAGCCTGTTCGTGCTGGACCAGAACGACAACGCGCCCGAGATCCTGTACCCCGCCATCCCCACAGATGGTTCCACCGGCGTGGAGCTGGCGCCCCGCTCCGCAGAGCCCGGCTACCTGGTGACCAAGGTGGTGGCGGTGGACAGAGACTCGGGCCAGAACGCCTGGCTGTCTTACCACCTGCTCAAGGCCAGCGAGCCAGGACTGTTCGCGGTGGGGCTGCACACGGGCGAGGTGCGCACGGCGCGAGCCCTGCTGGACAGAGACGCGCTCAAGCAGAGCCTGGTGGTGGCCGTCCAGGACCACGGCCAGCCCCCTCTCTCCACCACTGTCACGCTTACCGTGGCCGTGGCAGACAGGATCCCCGACATCCTGGCCGATCTGGGCAGCCTCGAGCCCTCCGCCAAACCCAACGATTCGGACCTCACTCTGTACCTGGTGGTGGCGGTGGCTGCGGTCTCCTGCGTCTTCCTGGCCTTTGTCATCGTGCTGCTGGCGCTCAGGCTAAGGCGCTGGCACAAGTCACGCCTGATGCAGGCTTCAGGAGGCAGCTTGACAGGCATGCCCAGCTCGCACTTTGTGGGCGTGAATGGGATGCGGGCTTTCCTGCAGACCTATTCCCACGAGGTCTCTCTCACTGCGGACTCGCGGAAGAGTCACCTGATCTTCCCCCAGCCCAACTACGCTGACACGCTCATCAGCCAGGAGAGCTGTGAGAAAAAGGATTTTTTATCAGCACCTCAATCTCTACTCGAAGATGAAAGGGAAGAAACGTCTTCTCAGGTAATCTATCTTTTCACAACATCCGTACAAGCTAGTTTGCTGAAGTAATTCACTTACTTGTTTACTATATCTATTTTGTTCCCCATATTTCCTTGAGGGCAGAGTCAAGTTGTAGGAAGTGAGTCTTGGTGAATTATTTCTTGGTAGGTCTTAGTGTTCACAGGCTATAAGAGGAAGAAGAGACACGAGAATCGTTGTGCAATGAATGTAAACCAGGAGTTAGATGATTATCCAAAGAGCACTGCATTGAGTAACTAGGGTATCTGGTCTCTTACACTTTCTTCTTCACTCCTGGGCAAATCATCTCATCCACCCGGATCAACAATTTTTTCTTTGTTAAAAATATAAAGATTGGAGTTTATGTTTGCTCAAGTCCTTTCTTCTTTTAAAATATGACTTTTACTTTATATTTGAATCTGTATATGAACAGTGAAACACCTTAGTCGGCTAATTCTTTCTCATTCAGTCTTAATATATTTCTCTCGGTTTGACAGCAAAATTGTTTTCCTTAACTTGCATGCCCTTCCCTGTTAAAAATATGGAAATTTAGAAATATACATTCCTTACAGTGTTTCCGGAAGTTATGTCATATTATTTTGGCTTAGTTTTAAAAATCACATTAGTCTCTAAGCTATGTGCTTCTTGAAGAAGTGACTGACTTATCATCTGCTCTATAATAAAGTTGTAGAGTAGTAATAAACAGGTTTCTCCTTTTTTTATCTTTCTCATATGTGGGAACCATATTGCCTTTTAATCTTTAAAATAATATATATCCTCAATATAGTTTTGCTTAAAGAAAAGATACAAAAGATTCATATCATACAATTGTCCAGAACCATCTTTTGTATACATCTCTCTTCTCAAGGTTTCTACTCACAGTAGCTGCTAGAAATGTTCCCAATCCCTCACCCAATCCCAATGCCCCTCTGAACAATTTTCTTTTCCCATTCCTCTTCCTATGTTGGCTTTTAGTATGTTGGTTATGTATTTAATAACAGAGAACAATAAACACACTAATGTTCTATGTAAATGGCATAATTTTTAATTTTTATTTGGAAATTATCATGTACCAATTGAGCCTTTTATTGAATGACACCGTATCTCTCAAAGTGCCGTGATTCTTTATGTTGCATCTTTTCTGAGACAATGTGTTGTTTTGGTTACTATTACATAATTCTCTATGAGTAAAATTGGAACTCACTGTGGCATAATATGTCACAATATCTTTACTTGTAAGTGAATAATAAAGTATAAACAGGATAATTAAAGCAGTTATTTTTAGTGTGTGTAGTAACTCCACAAGAATAAATGCCTTATGCATAGATATGTCATGCATCATGATTGAAATGACAAATATATGTATTTATATTTCTGTGCTTGGAAACTTATAGAGAAAGAGATTCTGGAACATAAAAGCTTATTTCTACTGGTTTTAGCAGTGGGTTTTGAAAAAACATCCTTACAGTCTAGATTTAAACAAAGCGAACTTCTTTCAGTACCCTGAGGGGCTGTGATTTCTCTCTCACATCTAGGCATTGTCATGCTGTTCTCTCCCACATCCAGGCCTTTTCACTGATCCACTCCTCTCATGTTTCCTGGGAAAGCCTTTGCTAACCTTAAAGGCCCAATTGAAGGCCCCCCTAACCCGCTTGGCTTTTCCCACTATGGTAATTATCTCAGTACGCTACAATTCCCTGTTTGCTTTTATATCCTTATAATCTCTGTGAAGAAAGTGACTGTGTCTATATTGTTCACCTTAAATCCCTAAACATATTGTCTGACACCTAATTATGTATTTGTTTAATGAATATTAAATAACAACAAATATTGAAACTAAGTTATCAGGTCACCAAGAACAAACTTAAAGAAATATAATGTATAAATATGGCTGATATTTCTGTGTGCTTCTTTTCTTCTTTTCCTTCTCTCAGCTCTTAGAGAGTTAAAAGTATAGAGAGGGAAAGGTGAAAGATATCAAATAACCCTGATAAATGTAGTAAGTATAACAATAAACACATTATCAAGATTCAGTGGTTGAAGAACAAGTGGTGGTCATGTCTTTTAATAGTTGTGTTGGTCCTTAGGGCCAGTTCTTTGTTACTGTGTGTTTCTTAAACTGAACAGTTCAAAACAGTTAACTCCACTATGTCTGAAGCAATATTGGTGGCATTAAGGTTAGTGCATGGATTCCCAAGAAAGATAACTTGAGGTCACACTGTTTAACATATATCAATTCAATTATGTTCAATCAACACTAGTCCTCTTATCTCTGACAAGAAGGATTTCAGGTCTTGGATAACTCAAAAATAATCATGTTTGTCTGAGAGGATGCAGTAAACGGTTAGGCCTCTTAGTGTCGCTGTTGACCACTCAAGAAGGAGAACGCAGCTGGAGAACTAGTCCATTTCCTTGCTCCTGAAATGCAAAGAACCAGCAAATTAGACTCAGAAAATCCGAGGCGGCTGCCAACCTCACCTCTTAGTCAACGAGCGGTTTGACCTGTGAATTAGGCCCGTAAAATACTTCGTTTCTTGAGAAAATAAGATTGGAGTCCGTCGTGGGAAACTGGAACCGAATTCAGAGAAAGCTATTCCCCGAAAAGGAAATGACCAAATGCCTGAGTTTCCGAAATGGCAGAGTACTGGCCCTGCTGTGCGCGCTTCTGGGGACGCTGTGTGAAACAGGATCCGGTCAGATCCGCTACTCGGTGTCTGAGGAGCAAGATAAAGGTTCCTTCGTGGGCAACATCGCTAAAGACCTGGGGTTAGAGCCCCGGGAGCTGGCTGAGCGCGGAGTCCGCATCGTCTCCAGAGGTAGGACGCAGCTTTTCTCTCTGAATCCGCGAAGCGGCAGCTTGGTCACCGCGGAGAGGATAGACCGGGAGGAGCTCTGTGCTCAGATCCCGCTGTGTCTGGTAAAATTTAACATCCTGGTTGAGGATAAATTGAAAATTTTTGAAGTAGAAATAGAAATTAAAGATATTAATGATAATGCTCCTAATTTCCCAACAGAGGAATTGGAAATAAAAATTGGTGAACTAACAGTTCCTGGGACCCGATTTCCACTTAAAACTGCTTTTGACCCAGATGTAGGCATGAACTCCCTGCAGAACTACAAGCTTAGCCCTAATGACTACTTCTCCCTGGCTGTGAATAGCGTCTCTGAGGGGGCCAAGTATCCAGAGCTGGTGCTGGAGCAGGCCCTGGACCGTGAGAAAAAAGAAATTCACCAGCTTGTCCTGGTTGCCTCTGATGGTGGCGACCCTGTTCACTCTGGCAACTTGCACATCCAAGTGATAGTCCTGGATGCAAATGACAACCCACCAATGTTTACTCAGTCTGAGTACCGTGTAAGTGTTTGGGAGAACGTGCCTGTGGGTACCCGGCTGCTCACAGTGAATGCTACTGACCCTGATGAGGGATTCAACGCTCAAGTGTCTTATATTCTAGATAAAATGCCTGGGAAAATCGCTGAGATTTTCCATCTCAACTCAGTGAGTGGAGAAGTATCAATATTAAAAAATCTAGATTATGAGGATGCCATGTTCTATGAAATTAAAATTGAAGCACAGGATGGACCAGGTCTTCTTTCAAGAGCCAAGATTCTACTCACGGTTCTGGATGTGAATGACAATGCTCCAGAAATTACAATTACGTCTCTCACAGGCTCAGTCCCAGAAGAGGGCACCGTTGGAAGAGAAATTGCTCTTATCGATGTGCATGACCGAGATTCTGGGCAGAATGGGCAGGTTGCAGTTTTTGTCCTGGGAAATCTGCCATTTAAGTTAGAAAAATCAATAGACCAATATTACCGCTTAGTGACGGCCACATCCCTAGACCGCGAACAAATGTCAGAATATAACATTAGTCGGAGAGCCTCAGATGGGGGAAGCCCGCCACTGTCCACAGAAACTCACATCATCTTGAATGTGATTGACATCAATGACAACCCACCCACCTTCCCTCACTTATCCTACTCCGCCTACATTCCAGAAAACAACCCCAGAGGAGCCTCCATCTTCTCAGTGACGGCCCAGGACCCAGATAGCAACGACAACGCCCACATCACTTATGCATTGACCGAGGACACCCTCCAGGGGGCGCCCCTGTCCTCCTACGTCTCCATCAACTCCAACACTGGCGTCCTATATGCGCTGCGATCCTTCGACTACGAGCAATTTAGAGACTTGAAACTACTGGTGACAGCCAGCGACAGCGGGAACCCTCCACTCAGCAGCAACGTGTCGCTGAACCTGTTCGTGCTGGACCAGAACGACAATGCGCCCGAGATCCTGTACCCCGCCATCCCCACAGATGGTTCCACCGGCGTGGAGCTGGCGCCCCGCTCCGCAGAGCCTGGCTACCTGGTGACCAAGGTGGTGGCGGTGGACAGAGACTCGGGCCAGAACGCTTGGCTGTCTTACCGCCTGCTCAAGGCCAGCGAGCCGGGACTGTTCGCGGTGGGGCTGCACACGGGCGAGGTGCGCACGGCGCGAGCCCTGCTGGACAGAGACGCGCTCAAGCAGAGCCTGGTGGTGGCCGTCCAGGACCACGGCCAGCCCCCTCTCTCCGCCACTGTCACGCTTACCGTGGCCGTGGCAGACAGGATCCCCGACATCCTGGCCGATCTGGGCAGCCTCGAGCCCTCCGCCAAACCCAACGATTCGGACCTCACTCTGTACCTGGTGGTGGCGGTGGCTGCGGTCTCCTGCGTCTTCCTGGCCTTTGTCATCGTGCTGCTGGCGCTCAGGCTTCGGCGCTGGCACAAGTCACGTCTGCTGCAGGCTTCGGGAGGCGGCTTAGCGAGCGTGCCCGGCTCGCACTTTGTGGGCGTGGACGGGGTTCGGGCTTTCCTGCAGACCTATTCCCACGAGGTCTCACTCACTGCGGACTCGCGGAAGAGCCACCTGATTTTCCCCCAGCCCAACTATGCGGACACGCTCATCAGCCAGGAGAGCTGTGAGAAAAGCGAGCCTCTTCTGGTAACTCAGGATTTACTTGAAACGAAAGGAGATTCCAACCTACTTCAGGTGAGTTTATTTATTTCTTTGAATATTATGAAGAACAATTATGAGAATGTGGTTATTATAAAGCTTTAACACATGTGTATTTGAGCAATAAAGCCATGAGGTTGTCATTAGTCCTTTGGCTAAATATTTGTCCCCCTTTCTTTCTGGGCCTATAGTAGGACTGCACTCCCTGGTCTGATTATGGTTGAGTGGGCTTAGGGAAACAATAATACATTGTGAGTGGAGGTAAAGTGTGTCACTTCCTAGAGGAATCTGCAATTGTGGGAATTTTCGATCTCTAAGTTACTATTTGAAATTGTGACTGCTCCTTCTACCTGGGTCCTTGAGTAACTATGATGAGAGAACCACAACACTGGTCTGTATACCTGTGATAAATAGGCCTTTTTCATTTTAAATTCCTGTGCTTTGGAGTTTGTCATTCCAGCCTATATAGCCTATCCTGATACATACAAGTAAAAATGTATATGAATAAAATATATTTTATATGCCCATGAAATTAAATTATGTTTAACTCCTTCCAAGACAGATGAAAAAGTAGAGGCTGATCAAATGGTTTTACCTATAATGCCTGTTATGTATGCCTAAAGTATATGCTTATGTGTGTATTCATATTTCAACATTTTGCCTGAGGGTGGAAAGTTCACCTACCTAAACTATTATGAGCCTTGGAGTGGTATTTCTTGCCCTTGAGAAGGATATTAAAAATAAGTAAGGGAATATGTCTCAGCCTCTGTGGCGGATTTCCAGACCGTCTCTTCCAACAATGGAATAGAAGTCCCTTCTTTTGTCATGTTCTACAGCTTTCTTCATCCAGAAATTGTTGGCTTATTCTGCAATTTATGAAATTATTTTCACTCATGAAATCATGTAAGAGAGTCATCCAAAATTAGACCAAAATATATTTTATTAGAACCCAAATGAAAGAATAGATTCCTCCCTCAATATATTAGGAAAAGGCACATTTAAATGTATGAGACAACAGGGCCAGAACACAAAAGCTGTAAGCAGAGTAAGGTGTATTCTCACTCAAACATGCAAATACATCACAGAATTTAAAAGGCCCATAGCCAGGGGAGGACTTCTGAGCCTAGGACTTCGAGACCTACTTGGGCAACATAGGATGATCCTGTCTCAAAAGAAAAAGGCGTGTAACTTTTAACGTATCATTTTTAGAAAAAAAAAAGTTTATAGTATCAGTATCACTTTCCCTGTAAGGAGAAAAAAAAGTTAATTAGCTAGTGTCAGGGGGGATTTGTATGCTCAAAGAGAATTTCTAAGAATTCTATATGAAATATAGCCTACATATGTGTCATGAAAATACACTGAGAATATGGAACCCACACAATTCCACCTACTTGTACAGGTGATGGAAGATCTTGGACATCCCATTTTCACTAAAAAGGGTTTATTTTTATTTTTTTGAAGAATGGGCAAGAATCCATTGCAACAGAAAGGGAGGAGAAGTTCATAATAAAAGGAACAGAAAGTATAAAGGCATGATGCAAGGAAACAAGTGAAAAGGTATCTTAAGAAAACAGATAATAGGCTGTTTCAACTGGAGTATGAGTATGGGTGAGCACTGCAAAATAGTAGAATAAACTGTTGAGTTGGATCTCATTTGGTAATGCATTTGAAATAAAGGGATTTGCTTTGAACCAAGATGAGTTCTAAGCCTGGAACTACAGAATAAGTTGCAGAATTGGGTGTCTAAGAACTCTGAATACATCTCCAATATTTACCAGTGGTCAAGTCAAACTCGTTTTGCTCATTGATGGTTTAAGTTGGCTGGAGCTGAGAATTGGCATTATAGAGAATGTTTTTGAGACAGAGTCTTGCTCTGTCACCCAGGATGGACTTCAGTGGCATGATCTCAGCTCACTGCAAACTCTACCTCCTGGATTAAGCGATTCTCCTGCCTCAACCTCCCAAGTAGCTGGGGTTACAGGTACCTGCCACCATGCCCAGCTAATTTTTATTTTTTTAGTAGAAACGGCTTGCACCATGTTGGCCAGGCTGGTCTTAAACTCCTGACCTCATGTGTTCTTCCCATGTTGGCCTCCCAAAGTGCTGGGATCACAGGTCGCTGCACACAGCCTAGAGTATTTCATATACATTCATTTAAAAAAGAAACACTGGTTTCATAAAACAAATATACATTATATGAAATTCCACTTCATAAAAGCATGTGTGTGTACCCCAATACTAAATTTGCCCTTTTAACAAAATATCAGACTTTGCCCTACTTAACTGGAAATATTATCTATATTTTATAAAGAAGAGAAATATATTAACATAATCGTAAGGCTGTGATTTCCTCTTTTTTGCAAAAACTATCTTTGAAAAGTATTACTGACTTGATAACATATATATGGAGAGATTTAAAATACTAGATAAGGGAACTTATTCCAATGAATTTACAGAAAGGTAGGTATTTTAGTCCACTAAAAATATAGATAAAAATTATCAATTCACTTATATGGATACAGCAGTCATGCCAGAGTTTATAAATATAGTGAAATCACTGAAGATTTTTTTTGCCCCCAAAACTGAAAAAAATGACTGTGTGCCTTGTGAATTTTTTAAATGAAAAAAGAATACAAAATGATGAAGACCCTTATGTGATGATGACAAACTAGAAAATTGAAATGTAAAGGGGGAAATGTGAGTATTTGGTTCCTTCCAGCAAATTAAAGACAGGGTACATAGATTCAAGAGGTTGCGCTTTGAGGATAAATAGCTGGGCACTGTGCAGTTTTCCAAGACAGCCTCTGGGCGCCGCTGTCGACCAAAAGGAAGTGAAGGCGTCTCAATTCTGCAGGAGCGTCAGGCAGGGTGCCTTCCTGCCTTGTCCGGTGCACTGAGGACGGACGCTGCTCCTGTTCACCCTCGAGCGCCTAACTGATAAGTCTTACGCTCAAATTACAGAAGTCCAGGGTGCTGTCATTGCTTTTTAAAAAAACATCCCAGAGAAGAGAAGCTCCGCGGAGAGTTCCTGAAATGCAGAGAGTCAGAGAAGCCGAAACGATGAAAAGTCAGGTACTGTTTCCCTTTCTGCTGTCTTTGTTCTGCGGGGCCATCTCCCAGCAGATCCGATACACGATTCCAGAGGAGCTAGCCAACGGCTCACGGGTGGGGAACCTTGCTAAGGATCTGGGGCTCAGTGTCCAGGAGTTGCCAACTCGAAAACTGCGGGTTAGTGCAGAGGATTATTTCAACGTTAGTTTGGAGAGCGGGGATTTGTTAGTGAACGGTAGGATAGATCGAGAGAAGATTTGCGGAAGGAAACTTGAGTGTGCACTAGAATTCGAAACGGTCTCTGAAAACCCAATGAATGTTTTCCACGTGGTTGTTGTAATCCAAGATATTAATGACAATGCACCACGTTTCGTTGCAAAAGGCATTAACTTAGAAATTTGTGAGTCAGCCTTACCCGGGGTAAAATTCTCTCTGGATTCTGCACAAGATGCAGATGTGGACGGCAATTCACTGAAGATATACACCATCAACCCCAATCAATACTTCTCTCTGTCAACGAAGGAAAGTCCTGATGGAAGTAAATATCCGGAATTACTGCTGGAAAAACCTCTAGACAGGGAACATCAGAGCTCTCATCGCTTAATCCTGACTGCCATGGATGGCGGGGACCCGCCTCTAAGCGGCACCACCCACATCTGGATCCGAGTCACCGATGCCAATGATAATGCTCCCATGTTTAGCCAGGATGTATACAGGGTTAGCCTCCAAGAAAACGTGCCGTGGGGAACCTCCGTGCTGCGGGTGATGGCCACAGACCAGGATGAGGGCATTAATGCAGAGATCACCTATGCCTTCCTCAATTCCCCAATAAGTACCAGCCTCTTCAATCTCAATCCAAATACCGGCGACATCACAACCAATGGCACATTGGACTTTGAAGAAACAAGTAGATATGTGTTGGGTGTAGAAGCCAAGGATGGAGGAGTACACACAGCTCACTGTAATGTTCAAATAGAAATCGTTGATGAGAATGACAATGCCCCTGAGGTGACATTCATGTCCTTCTCTAACCAGATTCCAGAGGATTCAGACCTTGGAACTGTAATAGCCCTCATAAAAGTGCGAGACAAGGATTCTGGGCAAAATGGCATGGTGACATGCTATATTCAGGAAGAAGTTCCTTTCAAATTAGAATCCACCTCGAAGAATTTTTACAAGATGGTGATTAGTGGAGCCCTAAACCGGGAGCAGACAGCAGACTACAACGTCACAATTATAGCCACCGACAAGGGCAAACCATCCCTTTCCTCCAGGACAAGCATCACCCTGCACATCTCCGACATCAACGACAATGCACCTGTTTTCCATCAGGCCTCCTACGTGGTCCATGTGGCTGAGAACAACCCACCTGGAGCCTCTATTGCACAAGTGAGCGCCTCCGACCCGGATTTGGGACCCAACGGCAGCGTCTCCTACTCTATTCTGGCCAGTGACCTGGAGCCGCAGGAGCTGTTGTCCTACGTGTCCGTGAGCGCGCAGAGCGGGGTGGTGTTCGCGCAGCGCGCCTTCGACCACGAGCAGTTGCGCGCCTTCGAGCTCACACTGCAGGCCTGCGACCAGGGCTCCCCCGCGCTCAGCGCCAACGTGAGCCTGCGAGTGTTGGTGGGCGACCTCAATGACAATGCGCCGCGGGTGCTGTACCCCGCGCTGGGGTCTGATGGCTCTGCACTTTTCGATATGGTGCCACGCGCCGCAGAGCCTGGCTACCTGGTGACCAAAGTGGTGGCGGTGGACGCAGACTCGGGACACAACGCTTGGCTGTCCTACCACGTGCTGCAGGCCAGCGAGCCCGGGCTCTTCAGCCTGGGGCTGCGCACGGGTGAGGTGCGCACAGCGCGTGCCTTGGGCGAGAGGGACGCGGCCCGCCAGCGCCTGCTGGTCGCTGTGCGTGATGGAGGACAGCCGCCACTCTCCGCCACCGCCACGCTGCACCTAATCTTCGCGGATAGCCTGCAAGAGGTATTGCCAGACCTTAGCGGCAGCCCTGAGCCCTCTGACCCCCAGACGGAACTGCAGTTTTACCTGGTGGTGGCCTTGGCCTTGATCTCAGTGCTCTTTCTCCTCGCGGTAATTCTGGCGATCGCCCTGCGCCTGCGACGTTCCTCCAGCCTCAACACTGAGGGCTATTTTCAAACGGGTCTCTGCTCCAAGTCTGGGCCAGAGGTTCCTCCCAACCACAGCGAGGGGACTTTGCCCTATTCCTACAATCTATGTGTTGCCTCTCATTCTGCAAAGACAGAGTTCAATTTTCTCAACCTGACACCTGAAATGACTCCTCCTCAGGATCTGCTGTGTGATGATCCTTCTATGATTGTATGTGCCAGTAATGAAGATCACAAAGTCGCTTATGACCCTTCTTTGTCTTCGCACGTGAGTTTCTGCAAATCTAGTTAAATTTTATATATGCGGCCGGGAGCGGTGGCTCAAGCCTGTAATCCCAGCACTTAACCAGGCTGAGGCAGGTGGATCACTTGAGGTCAGGAGTTTGAGACCAGCATAGCCAAGATGGTAAAACCCCGTCTACTAGAAATACAAAAATTATTTAGGTGTGGTAGCACGTGCCTGTAGTCCCAGTTACTCCGGAAGCTGAGACAGGAGGATCGCTTGAACCCGGGAGGTGGAGATTGTAGTGAGCCAAGAGTGTGCCACTGCACTCCAGCCTGGGTGACAGGAGGGAAACCCTGTCTTAAAAAAAAAAAAAAAAAAAATTATATATTACATTTTCTTTTCATTGGTGCATAAGTAATTTTGATTTTCTTTCATTGTTCTAGTGATAGTATCTACTGGGGGAGGGGGTGTTGGATAGATGGAGATTGCTTTCTTGATTGCTCAGTAGTCTTGGCAATTTAATTTTCAATCTTTACTGTTGGCATTTCTGTATGGTTGGCAAATATTGCTAAAGAGACCTGTTTCCTAGATGTTAACACTCTTAATAATAGCAGTGCCTTTTCTTAATTGGTATGCGATACTTGATATTTTCAAGTCATCTTATTCTTAGCTCTTTATAAATATATTTAGAGTTCTTCCCACCAAAGTTAAAGTTTATGTTCATCTTCATCAATTACATTCTAGTTTGTCTTTTTGCAGCAGCATGTGTATTTAACACAGCCTTCCAATTATTAAGACTCTTAACACTTTGTCTCATCACAAGTAGCAAATATTGTCCAATTTTACATTTGCATCACTAACTTTGGGTCAATATTATTCCCACTGTATAATTTCAGTCAATGATATTTCATAATTTTTAACCATTCCTAAATGATTTATTTTTATGCTCTTTCTATTTTGTCTCTTTTAAAACAAGAAATGTAATGAACATTTGGGTTTATAAAGCATTTTCCATACTTCTTGTTTCTTTAGTATAGATTTCTGAGGAATTAGTTAAATCTATAAACATGTTGAGTTTTTTTAATGCATACTGTCAAATTTATTTCCAAACATCTTATTTCACTTCTCAATCATCCGGAGTTTGTGCAGTCTTTGAGGATTGTGAAAAACACCTTTAATCTACTCTCTCAAAGTCTGAGGTTTTAAAATTCTGTATAGCTAATGCACTTTTGTATGAGTCATTTCTACTGCTACTTGTGAAGTGAGGAATAAGCTTAAGAACTGATGTACTGCTTTATCTCAAATTTTCTCAGATTAGTAAATTACTGTAAGTATTCATAAGCAAGAAAGCGATGGCACGTGCAATGATAATCCATGTTCAGCTACCAAAACATTTCATTTTACTGGCTATTTCTAAAGTGAAAGCTAAAGTAAAGTTAGAAATTGTAGTAAAATAATACTGAATGTGTCATGTGAAAAAATTACTAAACTATTATCTGCACTTTATAGTTCTTCAGTCTAACTTTTCATTTCTTTTTTATTTTTAAGATCAGAGTTATTTATCCATTGTTTTAGGCTTTGCATTTGAACCGGTCATTCATGAAACATTGAAAGGCTTCATAAAAAAGTTACTACTCTATGAAAGGTATTGTTCTAAAGATTGAGAACACATTGTAAACAAGATAGTCATATGCATAGCTTGTGGCCAAGAATGTATTGTATACAAAATTAAGGAGCAAATTCTCTTCCCAAACCTATTATTGTATTTGTCACTCTCATTCGTACAGGGGTAAGGCTAACTCTTGAACAGTAGGTGGGTTTTTTGCAAATGAATTGAAGCATTGCCCCAGGTTCTAGAGGGTCAACTCAAGTAAGGAAACTTGTTACTGCATAAATTGGGACTAAAGCCGAACCTCCAAGTTCCTGTCCCACTGTCTTTTCACTTATCGTCTCCTCCATTTTTCAAGTCCACCTTTCTCTTTAGGAGAGATAAGTATGTCCCTCACACAGTACACAGTACTGAGAATGGGCTGTGGGGATGAACAAGATGAAAACTGAAAAGATGGAGAACACATTCTTAGAAAAAAAAATCGTCATATTTTCTCTAAGAAAATAAATAACTTTATAAAGTTTATTGTACAGGAAGATTTGGATCATTCTTGAATTTTCGTTGCAAATCAAAAACAGGAATTTGACTTTTATTATCTTGGGAGAAATAGGAATAGAAACGTGTATAAAAAGTAAACTTTTTTTAACCAAGAATAAATTGCAGTAACAGGTTTAGACTCTGGGTGTCGCTGTTCACCAATCGGGGGAAAAGACAAACCAGAAATTTAATCAGAATCACAAGATTGCTGCAGCACAAAGCACTGGCTCTGGAGCTTTATGAAAGCTTCAAGCCGAAGCCCTGAGAGCTCCGGCTGTGAATGCACTTCACTTTGGACCCAGAATATCCTGGGGCTCCTCAGGCCTCCACAGAGGGAAAACCAAAGCACAGGCGACTCCGCGGCGGGGTTGTAATGGCGGCGCCTCCTGCTAGCCCAGACCGCACCCGGCTGCTCCAAATCTGCCTTCTCCTGGGGGTTCTGGGGGAAATTAGGGCCGAACAGATCCGCTACTCGGTGTTTGAGGAGCAGGAAGAAGGCTCAGTGGTGGGCAACATCGCCAAGGACCTGGGGTTGGCGCCCCGGGAGCTGGTGGAGCGCGGAGTCCGCATCGTCTCCAGAGGTAGGACGCAGCTTTTCGCCCTGAACCCGCGCAGCGGCAGTTTGGTCACCGCGGGTAGGATAGACCGGGAGGAGCTCTGCGACAGATCTCCAAACTGTGTGACAATACTGGAGATTCTCCTAGAAGATACAGTGAAGATTTTGCGGGTAGAGGTGGAAATAATCGATGTTAATGATAACCCACCCAGTTTTGGGACAGAGCAGAGGGAAATAAAAGTTGCTGAAAATGAAAATCCTGGGACAAGATTTCCTCTTCCTGAAGCTTTTGATCCGGATGTAGGGGTAAACTGCCTGCAGGGTTACCAGCTCAACTCAAACGGTTACTTTTCCCTGGACGTGCAAAGCGGGGCCGATGGGATTAAGTACCCAGAGCTGGTGCTGGAACGTGCTCTAGATCGCGAGGAAGAGGCGGTTCACCACCTCGTTCTCACCGCCTTCGACGGAGGTGACCCGGTTCGCTCTGGCACTGCCAGGATTCTCATAATACTTGTGGATACCAACGATAATGCTCCCCTGTTCACTCAGCCCAAGTACCACGTAAGTGTTCGTGAGCACGTTCCTGTAGGCACTCGGCTACTCACCGTAAAAGCCACTGATCCAGATGAAGGAGCCAATGGAGACGTGACGTATTCTTTCCGGAAAGTAAGAGACAAAATATCACAGCTATTTCAGTTAAATTCTCTGAGTGGGGATATAACAATATTGGGGGATCTAGATTATGAGGACTCTGGATTCTATGACATAGATGTAGAAGCCCATGATGGGCCTGGTCTCCGGGCTAGAAGCAAGGTACTGGTGACAGTTCTGGATGAAAATGACAACGCACCAGAAGTCACAGTTACATCTCTCACCAGCTCAGTCCAGGAAACTTCTTCCCCGGGTACAGTAATTGCACTTTTCAACGTGCATGACAGTGACTCAGGAGGAAATGGCCTAGTCACATGTTCTATTCCAGATAATCTGCCATTCATACTTGAAAAGACCTATGAAAATTATTATCGGTTGTTGACACACAGAACACTGGACAGGGAAGAAGTCTCAGAATATAACATCACTGTAACTGCAACTGACCAGGGAATTCCTCCACTGTCTACAGAAACTCATATTTCACTGCAGGTGATGGACATCAATGACAACCCACCCACTTTCCCTCATGCTTCCTACTCTGCCTACATTCCTGAAAACAACCCCAGAGGAGCCTCCATCTTATCTATGACTGCTCAAGATGCTGACAGTGGTGACAATGCCCTAATCACTTACTCCCTGGCCGAAGACACCTTCCAGGATGCACCCCTGTCCTCCTATGTCTCCATCAACTCCAATACTGGGATCCTATATGCACTTCGTTCCTTCGACTATGAGCAGCTTAGAGACCTGCAGTTACTGGTGACAGCCAGTGACAGTGGAGACCCTCCACTCAGCAGCAATGTGTCAGTGAGCCTCTTTGTGCTGGACCAGAACGACAATGTCCCTGAGATCCTGTACCCCACCTTCCCTACAGATGGCTCCACTGGTGTGGAGCTGGCACCCCGCTCCGCAGATTCCGGCTACTTGGTGACCAAAGTGGTGGCAGTGGACAGAGACTCAGGCCAGAATGCCTGGCTGTCCTACCGCCTACTCAAGGCCAGCGAGCCGGGACTATTTGCAGTGGGGCTGCACACAGGCGAGGTGCGCACCGCACGGGCCCTGCTGGACAGAGATGCGCTCAAGCAGAGCCTTGTAGTGGTCGTCCAGGACCATGGCCAGCCCCCTCTCTCGGCCACCGTCACACTCACTGTGGCTGTGGCCAACAGCATCCCAGATGTCCTGGCTGACTTGGGCAGCCTCAAGCCTTCAGCAGACCCAGACGACTCGGGCCTCACACTCTATCTCGTGGTGGCAGTGGCCGCTGTCTCCTGCGTCTTCCTGGCTTTTGTCATGGTGCTGCTAGCACTCAAGCTGAGACGCTGGCACAAGTCACGCCTGCTTCACGGTGAAGGCAGCAGGTTGGCAGGTGTGCCTGCCTCGCACTTTGTGGGCGTGGACGGGGTTCGGGCTTTCCTGCAGACCTACTCCCACGAGGTCTCCCTCACCGCGGACTCGAGGAAGAGTCATCTGATCTTCCCCCAGCCCAACTATGCAGACACGCTCATCAGCCAGGAGAGCTGTGAGAAAAGCGAGCCTCTTCTGATAACTCAGGATTTACTTGAAACAAAAGGAGACCTTAATCTTCAGGTGAGTCAATCTTATAATAGATCATACCACACTGAAATATAGACAAAGAGTTGTGTAAATGTCTCCTATTACATATGTAATATATCAAATAAAGGTGCCTCTTTTAATATTTTATTGCTGTAAAGAGAACTGGTGGATGACCCTTCAGTAATGACCAACACTCTTTACCACACAAAAATGTTGTTTATTATCCTTTTTGGTCTTCATTCAGTTGTAGTTTCAGCCAGAATTTTCTAATTTTACAACTCTAAACCACCTCATTTCCTTAAATGTCCTTTTCTGTGCTGGGTGCGGTGGCTCACACCTGTAATCCTAGCACTTTGGGAGTGTGAGGAGGGTGGATTGCCTGAGCTCAGGAGTTTGAGACCAGTCCAGGCAACATGGTGAAACCCAGTCTCTACTAAAATACAAAAAGTTAGCCGGGCGTGGTGGTGCACGCCTGTAGTCCCAGCTACCCTGGAGGCTGAGACATGAGAATTGCTGGAACCTGGGAGGCAGAGGTTGCAATGAGCTGAGATCATGCCACTGTACTCCAGCCTGGGTGACAGAGCAAGCCTCTGTCTCCAAGAAGTAAAATAAAATAAAGTAAAATAAAATAAAGAATAAATTTCCTTTTCCTTTAGGTGTTACTGCAAAGATACAAGAGACCTGTGAAATAGAAGGCAATTGTGTAAATTCACGTTTACAATATTCTTTCTCATGAAGTTATTATTGGATCTGGACTGAGGATTTTTTAATTTCCTATTTTTACACTGTACCATGCTTTACTTGAAGTTTACTTTTCCTTCCTTGAAAGGGTATTTTGCATTATAATAGGCAACATTAATTTAAGAATACTGGCAACTTATGAGTTTAACTTTTAGATATAACTTTAACAGGATATTTTCTCAATGAACTGTTACATTTCAAATATTTTCTTGTTGCTGTTCTGAGATGCGCCAGCGGTGACTATACGTGATTCCTTTGGTGCACTCCTGTGATTATGAGAAATATTTGAAAGTTAATTTCACTCATATTTAAGTAGATTCTAGAAGTAACTTTAATAATTTTTAAATTGCCTATCATGACATCCCTATTGAGACTTTCTTGATTTCTTTTGTTGTTGTTGTTGTTGAAAAGATATATATATATATATTTAGAATTAGGCAGCTGGACTCAGTTTAGATGATCCCAATTTTGTTGGCAACATCCAAAGCATCATAATCAGGAGCCAGTCAAACATACGCCTTTTTCTCTCCATCAGGCCGAATCAGGGTGTTGACCTTGACCACATCAATGTCATAGAGCTTCTTCACAGCCTGTGAAGAAGGTTGCTTGTTGGCTTTAACATCCACAATGAACACAAGTGTGTTGTTGTCTTCTATCTTCTTCATAGTAGACTCAGTGGTCAGCGGAAACTTGATGATAGCATAGTGGTCAAGCTTGTTTCTCCTCGGGGCGCTCTCCCGAGGATATTTGGGCTGTCTCTGGAGTCGCAGTGTCTTGAGCCGCTGGAAGGTGGGTGACGTGCGGGTCTTCTTTTTTTTGTGGCTGTGGACACCTTTCAACACTGCCTTCTTGGCCTTTAAAGCCTTCGCTTTGGCTTTGGCTTTAGGAGGGACAGAAGCTTCCTTCTTCGCTTTTGGTGCCATCTTGTGAAAAGGCGAGACTTTCTTGATTTCTAAGGAAAAATATAAGTTTTTGGAGTCTTTTCTCTTTTCATCATGTAAGCCTCTTTCAAAGGTTGAGTTACTTGGGTTCTGGACTGATATGATTTATGCTGCTTAGTAAGTTGGCCTCATCCCTATTGCTACAAATTGCTATCAGATATTTCTGTCACCATGTGGCTCTGGGATTATTTTATATGTGGGAAAATATTTTGTGTGTAGGAGATATACAACACTTTTGTTCTTTGTGCTTTCATTTAGTTCTGTGAGTTAATTCAAAATTCATGAATGCATATGCTTACACAAATTAGTGTAATTTGATAACTGGAAGTTGTAGTGATAGACTGTGGAATATGCCTCAATTTGATTTACAAAGGAGAGTTTTAGTTTCCACATGGTTTTGTATTCATAGAAAGTTGTGGTGCAATATGTAGAGTAAGCTGGAATATGATATGCAGTTACCTGGGTTGGTAAGCAGAAAGCAGAAATAACAAGTGAATGTTGAGAGACAACTCACATCTGAGGAGAGATTGTTTAAAGTAATTAAACCATAAAATATAATTTGGAAATGCTCAATTGGCCTGAAACTGTGTCAAGCATATTCAGGTGTTGGCATTAGGAATATATTCCAGAATGAGAGTGCCATACGTTTTAAAGGCCTAGGAAAGCAGTAGATAATTTATAACCTAAAATCAAATTTTTTTAAAAATGTGTTTTTGTTAGAATGGGCAGTGAGTTTCTTTTAGTAAATAACAATGTTGATTAAACAAATTGTTGTATATTCATATTATGGACTACTAGATAACTATATTATGGGCCACTAGATAACTATAAAAATAAATGGGAAAGCTCTCTGTGTACTGATATGATCTTTAAGATATAACAAATATAAAAGCAATGTGAAGAACATGGTATGTTGTATGCTTACATTTGTGTAAAGAAGGAGACAGAATATTTATAAAAATCCGTTGCACTATGTAAAACATATCTCCAGAAGGATACCCAAGAAACGTTAACACTCATTTCCCCTGTGAAAGCAATTCTCCTCATCTAAAGCAGGGATGAATGCACCTTTTGAATTTGGAACTATATGAATATTTCGCATATTTAAAAACAAATGAAGACTTTATAAATTAAAAAAAAAGAAGAAGAAGAAAAGAAAAATGTTCTTAGCAAACATTTACAAGCCGTTGGTACAGTTTCCTGAGAAAACCTCTGAGCGTCGCTGTCGGTCAAAAGAACGAAGAGAAGATCCAGAGAAGCTTTTGGGAGCCTCTTAGAAGGGAACTTCCTGCACAAACCAACCACGCAGAGGAGGCCAGTGTAGATTCGGAAACAGAAAACAAAGGCAGGAAAAGTGACCTGAGCCCGGATTCTGCCATCCTCGGAAGGCTTATTCCTCCTATGGGCAAAGGAGCACAGGGAGCCCGAGGGAGACAGAAGATGAAGGCGAGCGCAGGGAGGTACGGGCTGGTGTGGTGGCTGCAGGTACTGTTGCCCTTCCTGTTGTCTTTGTTCCCCGGGGCTCTCTCAGACCAGATCCGCTATTCAATTCCAGAGGAGCTGGCCAAAAACTCTGTCGTAGGAAACCTCGCCAAGGATCTGGGGCTCAGCGTCCGGGACTTGCCTGCCCGGAAGCTGCGGGTTAGCGCAGAGAGGGAATATTTCACAGTAAACCCAGAAAGCGGGGACTTACTTGTGGGTGACAAAATAGACCGAGAGCAGATATGCGGGAAGCAGCCTCTGTGTGTTCTGGATTTCGATACTGTCGCTGAAAACCCACTAAATATTTTCCACATAGCAGTAATTGTGCAGGATATAAATGATAATACCCCACTATTCAAACAGAGTAAGATTCATTTAAAAATTGGCGAATCCACTAAGCCAGGTACAACATTTCCACTTGACCCAGCCCTGGATTCAGATGTTGGTCCTAATTCACTACAAAGATACCACCTTAATGACAACGAGTACTTTGATCTCGCTGAGAAACAGACTCCAGATGGACGTAAATATCCTGAGCTGATTCTAAAACATTCTCTGGACAGAGAAGAGCATAGTTTCCATCAACTGGTCCTCACAGCTGTGGATGGCGGAGACCCACCTCAAAGCGGCACGACCCAAATCCGAATCCAAGTCACGGATGCCAATGATAACCCTCCGGTGTTCAGCCAGGATGTGTACAGGGTCACCCTGAGGGAGGACGTGCCCCCGGGCTTCTTTGTGCTTCAAGTGACGGCCACTGACCGGGATGAAGGTATAAACGCGGAGATCACCTACTCCTTTCATAATGTGGACGAACAAGTCAAACGCTTTTTCAACTTAAATGAAAAAACAGGAGAAATCACGACAAAGGATGATTTGGATTTTGAGATTGCAAGTAGTTACACTCTGAGTATTGAAGCAAAAGATCCTGGAGATCTAGCAGCCCACTGCAGTATCCAAGTTGAAATTCTTGATGAGAATGATTGTGCACCTGAAGTTATTGTGACTTCAGTATTTACTCCCCTACCAGAGGATTCGCCACCAGGAACAGTCATCGCCTTGATAAAAACGAGAGACAGAGACTCTGGAGAAAATGGAGAAGTTTACTGCCAAGTGTTGGGAAATGCCAAGTTTATTTTGAAATCTTCCTCAAAGAACTATTACAAACTAATGACAGACGGCGCCCTGGACCGGGAGGAGATCCCAGAATACAATCTCACCATCACAGCCACCGACGGGGGCAAGCCGCCTCTCTCCTCCAGCATAATTGTCACCTTGCACATCTCCGACGTCAACGATAATGCCCCACTTTTCCAACAGACTTGCTACATGGTTCACGTGGCAGAGAACAATCCTCCTGGCGCCTCTATCGCTCAAATCAGTGCCTCTGACCCTGACTTGGGCCCCAATGGCCAAGTTTCCTACTCCATCGTAGCGAGCGACCTGGAGCCGCGGGAGATTTTATCCTACGTGTCCGTGAGCGCGCAGAGCGGGGTTGTGTTCGCGCAGCGCGCCTTCGATCATGAGCAGCTGCGCGCCTTCGAACTCACACTGCAGGCCACCGACCAGGGCTCACCTGCGCTCAGCGCCAACGTGAGCCTGCGCGTGTTAGTGGGCGACCTCAATGACAATGTGCCACTGGTGTTGTACCCCGCGCTGGGGCCCGATGGCTCCGCCCTCTTCGATATGGTGCCACGCGCCGCAGAGCCCGGCTACCTAGTGACCAAGGTGGTGGCGGTGGACGCAGACTCGGGACACAACGCTTGGCTGTCCTACCACGTGCTGCAGGCCAGCGAGCCCGGGCTCTTCAGCCTGGGGCTGCGCACGGGTGAGGTGCGCACAGCGCGTGCCTTGGGCGAGAGGGACGCGGCCCGCCAGCGCCTGCTGGTCGCTGTGCGTGATGGAGGACAGCCGCCACTCTCCGCCACCGCCACGCTGCACCTAATCTTCGCGGATAGCCTGCAAGAGGTATTGCCAGACCTTAGCGACCGCCCTGATCCCTCTGACCCCCAGACGGAACTGCAGTTTTACCTGGTGGTGGCCTTGGCCTTGATCTCAGTGCTCTTCCTCTTCGCGGTGATTCTGGCAATCTCCCTGCGCCTGCGACGCTCTTCCAGTTCAGACGCTTGGGGCTGCTTTCAGTCTAGTCAGTGCTCCAAGCCTGGACCTGAGGTTCTCCCCAATTACAGTGAGGGAACATTGCCCTTTTCCTACAACCTGTGTGTTGCCTCACAATCAGCCAAGACAAAGTTTAATTTTCTGAACGTAACCCCGGAATTGGTTCCCTCACAAGATCTCCTCTGTGACAATGCCTCTTGGGAACAAAATACAAATCATGCAGACGCTGGGGTCCCTTTTGCCTCAGATACTATTTTAAAGGTGAGCTTTAATTAATTTATTTTCACTTCTGGTTTTATTGTTTCACCTAATTTGGGTAGGAAGTTCCATTGCAATTTCTTTGTCTGTGAGTTAGATTTGGTAAATGTTGTGCCTTAATTATCTTAATCTTATTTAACTTAATTTTAAGTGTTTTCTCTCTGAAGTGTGAGATTTATTTAGCAATAATTGCAAACCTTTATCACATGAGATACTGCACTGTATTTCTTTTTCTTCCTCGTCTTTGCTTCTCTCTGAAGATTTGTTACGATTGGGACTTTAGGCAATTACTTTCACCTTCAGGCTCTTTGTTATTCAAATTTTTGTTTTACTTCCTCTTAGCATCATAGTACTTCAGAGTAAAGAGAGTCTTCATTTTAGTAGTTTTTGGAAATTGGGAACCAAAGATGAAAGACTTTTACATAATGGCATGGCTTGTTAATTGCAGGGCATGGGTAGGACATTGTCCCATTGACTTGAAGACCCACGCTGGGTAAGCTAAGTGTCTTGGAATCACAAGCATATTTCTAAAGGATAGGCAATGTTTGAGGTCTGAGGTGTCTGCTATAAAGAGTGCATTTAACAAATGTGAGAAATCATTCTCTAACATGCATTTTAACAAATTGCTCTTGAGAAAAATTACACATTGCGAAAAATCTTACAACCTATGTTCACATCATTTTCTACCAAATATTACTCAAATCTTTGCTTTTGAATTTCCTAATTATATAGAATTTTTATTTTCTTAGTTTTCTATGAAAGTGTCATTAAACAAAATGACTTTCTGAAATGTTCATTTTTTTCAATCAAGAGGTTTTTCTATTTCTGTTGTCATATAAAGATGATAGCACTAAATAACTGTCTCAACATAGAAAGGCCACTCAGTACTGCTCAATAAGTATCTGGTCATGCTTTCCTGCATAGATGATGAAATAAAGCCCCACCCTCCACAGTTGCTATACTGATTGTCATTGGAACTACAAATATTTGAACATGATAATAGAAAAACGTAAAAATGCATAGTTAACCCTACTCTAACACTGTCTGAGATAGTGGAGAAACTTTCTCAAAGTCCTCACAAGTAATAAAGATCTGTATTTCTTCTGCATATGACAGCTAATATAACTTACATAAATCAGTAGTCCTGTTTGGAAAGGTGCATTGAGAACTGGGTTTGTTTCCTTGGCATTCTTATGTGCAAATAAGCACGTTTTCCTAAATGCATCCTAATAAAGAGATGAAATCTTGAATTCTACAAAGGTAAGAATTTGAATGTCCTAATTTAAAGGACTAAACATAGGTAAGAGGTAAATAAAGGACATAGGCTCCCCCAGTGACACATTAAATAAAATTTTTGTAAGGTATTGGAATCTAATAATATTGATCTCAGTAATTGTGGAAGTCTTGCTATTTCAGAATTAAAGCTGAATTAACAGTCATAGACAATGTTACACAGTTAAACATTAAGGATATGGCAACATTATTAGAAATAAAATTACAACTAAACTTAGGAGAAATAAAAATGGAATTTGGTGCAGTCACTGGTTAGGACTCTGAGCGTCGCTGTTGACCAAAGTGGGAAAGGAGCTGCAGCAGAGGCGACTCGACTCTGCTCCCTCCATACTAAACACACGAACCAGACAAGTTCCTACGAAAAGCCAACACTCCACGCCCATTTTCGTCGGGGAATATGTACCCATCGGCTTTAGATAAATAAGGAAACAGCAGGCTGAACCAGAACTAAGAGAAAATTGGGCAGAGAGAAGGCAATGGCGAGTCCACCGAGGCGCTGGGCCTGCGGAGAGCTGCTGCTGCCCTTCATGCTCCTGGGGACGCTGTGCCAACCGGGATCCGGGCAGATCAGCTACTCGATGCCGGAGGAGCTGGACAAAGGCTCCTTCGTCGGCAACATCGCCAAGGACCTTGGGCTGGAGCCCCAGGAGCTGGCGGAGCACGGAGTCCGCATCGTCTCCAGAGGTAGGACGCAGCTTTTCGCTCTGAACCCGCGAAGTGGCAGCTTGGTCACCGCGGGCAGGATAGACCGGGAGGAGCTCTGCGCTCAGAGCCCGCTGTGTGTGGTGAACTTTAACATCTTAGTTGAGAACAAAATGAAAATTTATGTAGTAGAAGTAGAAATAATCGATATTAATGATAACTTTCCGCGTTTCCGGGATGAGGAGTTAAAAGTAAAAGTTAATGAAAATGCGGCTGCAGGGACACGTTTAGTGCTTCCCTTCGCGCGGGATGCAGATGTGGGTGTGAACTCCCTCCGGAGTTACCAGCTCAGCTCCAATCTGCACTTCTCTCTGGATGTGGTAAGCGGAGCTGATGGACAAAAGTATCCGGAGCTGGTGTTGGAACAGCCCCTAGACCGCGAGAAAGAGACTGTTCACGACCTCCTCCTCACAGCTTTAGATGGCGGAGACCCGGTACTCTCCGGCACCACGCACATCCGTGTTACAGTACTCGACGCAAACGACAATGCACCCCTGTTCACGCCATCCGAGTACAGCGTGAGTGTTCCAGAGAACATACCTGTGGGCACTCGGCTGCTCACGCTAACCGCCACGGATCCAGATGAGGGAATAAACGGGAAATTGACCTACTCTTTTCGCAATGAGGAAGACAAAATTTCGGAGACTTTCCATCTTGATTCCAACCTGGGGGAAATCTCAACTCTACAACCGCTGGACTATGAAGAATCCAGATTCTACCTCATGGAAGTGGTAGCTCAGGATGGAGGCGCTCTTCTTGCCAGCGCTAAGGTGGTGGTCACAGTACAGGACGTGAATGACAATGCCCCCGAAGTGATCCTCACCTCTCTGACCAGTTCCCTCTCTGAAGACTGTCTTCCAGGAACTGTAATCGCGCTGTTTAGTGTACATGATGGTGATTCTGGAGAAAATGGTGAGATTGTATGCTCTATTCCTAGGAACTTGCCTTTTAAACTGGAGAAGTCAGTTGATAATTACTATCACCTATTAACAACTAGAAACCTGGACAGAGAAGAGACTTCAGATTATAATATCACTTTAACCGTCATTGACCATGGAACCCCGCCCCTCTCTGCAGAAAACCACATCCCCTTGAAAGTAGCAGACGTCAATGACAACCCACCCAATTTCCCTCAAGCCTCCTATTCCACCTCTCTCCCAGAAAACAACCCCAGAGGTGTCTCTATCTTCTCTGTGACAGCCCATGACCCCGACAGCGGCGACAATGCTCGAGTCACCTACTCCCTGGCTGAAGACACATTTCAGGGGGCGCCCTTGTCCTCCTATGTCTCCATTAACTCTGACACCGGTGTCCTGTATGCGCTGAGATCCTTCGATTATGAGCAGTTGAGAGACCTACAGTTGTGGGTGACAGCCAGCGACAATGGGAACCCTCCACTTAGCAGCAACGTGTCACTGAGCCTGTTTGTGCTGGACCAGAACGACAATGCGCCCGAGATCCTGTACCCCACCCTCCCCACAGACGGTTCCACGGGCGTGGAGCTGGCGCCCCGCTCCGCAGAACCTGGCTACCTGGTGACCAAGGTGGTAGCAGTGGACAAAGATTCAGGCCAGAATGCCTGGCTATCCTACCGCCTGCTTAAGGCCAGCGAGCCGGGACTCTTTGCGGTTGGGCTGCACACAGGCGAAGTGCGGACAGCGCGGACCCTGCTGGACAGAGATGCACTCAAGCAGAGCCTCATAGTGGCCGTGGAAGACCATGGCCAGCCCCCTCTGTCAGCCACCGTCACAGTCACAGTGGCCGTGGCAGACAGGATCCCTGACATCCTTGCTGACCTTGGCAGTATGAAGACCCCCATTGACCCTGAGGATTTGGATCTCACATTCTATCTTGTGGTGGCAGTGGCTGCAGTCTCCTGCGTCTTCTTGGCCTTTGTCATTGTGCTGCTGGCGCTCAGACTGAGGCGCTGGCACAAGTCACGCCTGCTTCAGGCTGAAGGCAGCAGGTTGGCGAGTGTGCCCGCCTCGCACTTTGTGGGCATGGATGGGGTTCGGGCTTTCCTGCAGACCTATTCCCACGAGGTCTCCCTCACCGCGGACTCGAGGAAGAGTCACCTGATCTTTCCCCAGCCCAACTATGCAGACACGCTCCTTAGTGAAGAGAGCTGTGAAAAAAGCGAGCCTCTTCTGATGTCTGATAAGGTAGATGTAAACAAAGAAGAACGGCGAGTTCAGGTTAGTTTTCTCTTTCGGTAAGGATGACCGGAACATTTTTGTTTGTTTCTTTTTTCATTTATCTGTCATATTCAAAATCAGCTAGTTATGCAAATAGTGGAATATTATTTGCTCTATTGGAGATTAATTTTTTTCAATTCATTCTTTCTCCATTTGTTTTCAAATTCTGTTTTGGGAAGTCTAGCTGATATCTGTAGACTTAAGTGAAACAAATACTTTAAAGGAAAGTGGTTAAATATAATCATTTTACCCAAATATTTTGCTATATTGGAACTGCAGTTCTATTAATAGCAGAGATGTTTTATTAATTCAAATTGTTATATGTATTGTTCTCTTTTGAGTGTCTGCATAGACACCGTTAGTGTACGTGTTTTGGAAAGGATAATGTGTAGGATTGATATTTTAGTCTACCTGAAATTTGTTTAAGGAAATAATTTACAGTATTTACATAAATCAGTGGAAAGGTACAGAGAACTTCTGCATCATAAATATCAGAAAAGTAGATTAAATTTATAGTGATGATAACATGTAGCATTCTAAAGTCTGGAAAGTTTGTGTTAAGCCATGTAATTATTGGATATGTGGGCTTGTTGAGAGAAGAAATCAGTGTAAAGGAACCTTAAAGTTGGGCTTTGTTCTGTGATGTAAAGCCTCCAAAGAGTTACATACTGCTGCATTCAATAGATGTAAATATGTCACACACCTGGCATGTTCTGTTGTAGACAAACCCTTTACTTATTAAAATCAGCACCTACTGAAATGTTAGCTTTTCTTTAAGTGTAAGTGCAATTCTTCTTTATTACTTGAGTCTAAGGTTGTATTTGAAAAAAGAATTCAATTTAAGGATGGTTCAAAATTTTAAATTTCATATCTAAGGGATGTGTTCATCTTAAATTAATAGATGTGCCTTAATGAAATACTGGTCTAAGTGCCTCAAATTCCAGGAGGATGTGTTATGTAATGAAAGGACTACTAGATTTCCATTCTGCATCTGATTTGCTGAAGATGATTTTCAGATGCTTCTTATTAAAATATTCTTAATCCTTCAAATTTTGTACTTTTAACACCTTGAGCATCAGCTTCAAATAATGACTAAATAAGGGAAAAAGGTAATAAAATATTACAAATGGGATAGTAAGCTACATTACTCAACCACATGAAAGGTTAATTGACACATTAAAGAACCTAAGATCACTTGATTTTTATTTTTTAAACATTATTAAAGAGCAGTCAATTATACACACACACACACACACATATATACACATACACACACACAAACACACATACATACACACACGGACATTCTGACCAAAATGTAAAATGTACAGACTCACTGAATAGTGAATGCATTCAAAGAGTAACAAGAGAATCTATAGAATAGGTGTGACATCATTCACTCCTATGTGAAAACTTGCTTTTCCATTTTTTTTTAAAGAAAATGTTATATGCTTCTCAGAGTAGGGTGTTTGGAAAAAAAGTAAAGGTTATAGATTTGGGTACACTTCCTCTGAGTTAACTTTTTTGTGCAATGGAAAAATATCTTTAAACCCTCTATAAACTACTAACAGAATTTATAAAATGCTTGATCCATACATTCTGAATGTACGTACTATATATACCATATACTTTTAAATATCTGAGTATTTAGTTTTATATGTGTTCTGAAGAATAATTTTTCATACTAATTGAAGTGTTCATACAATGAACACTTGGCATTGTGTGGGAAGGCCCTTGCTTTGGAATGTTTTGGAGCAAAGTCTTGAGTCAGTTATGTTTTTGATGTTTGTATAAAGGTGACAATGAGTGGCTGTCCAGAATTCTGGATATCATGACTAGTTTAAGATGCTATAATGCTTTTCCACTATAAGGTAAATTCAGTGTGGAACTCATTGCTTATTGCTGCACACCTGCCTGGTTTTAGAATAACAATACATTATGTAGGCTAAAGATAATTTCTTTAAGAAGATTTTCTGGTTTGGAAATGTAATTAAAACTATAAGACACCTGTCAGAAACATGGAAAATGGCATGTTATTGACCAGGGAAAAGTGTAAATAACAAAAGGTTGGTATGATCAGATGGTAAACTGGGGACCAAGGGAAAGTGGACAGGAAGATTACTTACATAATTAAATAATATAATTATAAGGACTCACAATTCACTCCCCAATCCTAATAAACACATCATTGTCAGGCTACTTGAGAAGAAGCAGTACAATTCAGAACAATTGTGATGTAGTATGAAAAAACGTCTTCTGTGAAAGTTTTTCATCTGGTTCAGGGTGGTTCATGCCTTATAATCCCAGCACTTGGGGAGGCTGAGGTGGGAGGATTGCTTAAAGCCAGGTGTTGACGCCCAGCCTGGGCAACATAGTGAGACCCCACCTCTACAGAAAAAAGAAAAAATTTCAATCATACTTATTTAATTAAAAGTAGACACTTGGAAACAAAGGAAAAGAGACCCTCTTGCTTCTTGCTATACTTCTATTTTATAAGGTCAATCATTTCCTCATTACCTGTAACTTCTTTTGGGGGGAAATAGTAAAGATAAAAGAGAAGAAAGTGAAACATAGGATGGAACTAAAAGCTATGAGATTATAACTTTTAGAAGTTAGAAGAAAAGGAAATAGAATGCAATAACAATACACGTGAAGCTGATATTTCAAGCATCTTTATACTGCGTCTTCTGCCATCACCAAAAATAGCTTTCATTCGTATGATTTTTCTATGTATCATTTTATTTGGTCCTCATTTTTACTAAAGTAAGCAGAGAAGATGTTATTATGACCATTTTATGAAAATAGAAATTAAAAAACATGACGGGATTGAGCAAGGTTATCTCTGCCCTTTGACAAGTAAAAGGTACTTGATTTGGATGGATAAAGCTCAAATTAAAAGAAATAACAGACTAAAGATATAGTAAATATATTTAATGTTTTTTAAAAGTTCTTTTAAAATGGGAAGAAAGTATCACTATCAGTACACTGCCGATTTTTCTCCTAACTGGCTCCTTATTTGGAGAGGATTTAGTCACCACTGCTGCAGTTCTGCAGCGGAGGCGCCGGGTGCCGGTCTTGGCTAGTGCTGTGCAAAGTATTGGCTCCTCCCGCCGTAGCCAACTTGGAAGAAAAGTGTACTCTCTATCCGGCTTCCTGCAGCGGAGACACCCATCAGAGAACCCAAGCACCAAGACAAAACAAATAGTTGGTTCTGCTCAGAGAGGTCTTGGGATTATTTAAATATCTCCTCTCCTCGGATTTAGAAAGGCAAAGGTGCAGAGAGGGGGATGGGAAATAGCTCCGGATGGAGCGGCCCAGCAGAGCGGAGGCGAATGCTGTTTCTCTTCCTGCTCTCTTTGTTAGGCCAGGGGCTCTCCCAACCGATCCGCTACGCTATTCCCGAGGAGCTGGACGGAATAGCGGAGGAGGCTCCCTGGTAGGGAACCTCGCCAAGGACCTGGGTTTTGGCGTAGGGGATTTACCTACTCGGAACCTGCGGGTTATTGCAGAGAAGAAATTCTTTACCGTGCGCCCCGAAAATGGGGACTTATTTGTGAGCGACCGTATAGACCGAGAGGAGATTTGTGGCAAGAAGTCAACGTGTGTTCTGGAATTTGAAATGGTTGCTGAAAAGCCTTTCAACTTTTTTCATGTAACCCTGCTGATCCAGGATATTAACGACAACCCACCGACCGTTAGCGAAAATATCACTGAGCTGGAAATCAGCGAACTGGCGATCACTGGAGCCACCTTTGCCGTGGAATCTGCTCAGGATCCTGATGTAGGTGTCAATTCGCTGCAGCAGTACTACCTCAGCCCTGATCCGCACCTCTTTTTAATTCAGAAGGAGAACCTGGATGGCAGTAGGTACCCAGAGCTAGTACTGAAAGCACCCCTGGACAGGGAAGAGCAGCCGCATCACCACCTGGTCCTCACAGCTGTGCATGGGGGCGAGCCCTCCAGAAGCTGTACCACCCAGATCAGGGTAATTGTCGCAGACACAAATGATAACCCCCCAGTATTTACTCAGGACATGCACAGGGTCGGTGTTGCAGAGAACCTGCCCGCTGGCTCCTTGGTATTAAAAGTGATGGCCACTGACTTGGAATGAGGGTGTTAATGCCGAGATCATCTATGCCTTCATCAGTATTGGTAAGGCAGTGAGACAATTGTTCAAGCTGCACAGTAAAACGGTGGAACTCACCACTGTTGGAGAACTGGACTTTCAAGAGAGTGATAGCTACACAATTGGGGTGGAAACAAAGGATGGTGGACATCACACTACATATTGTAAAGTACAGATAGATATTTCAGATGAAAATGACAATGCCCTGGAGATAACCCTGGCTTCTGAATCCCAACATATACAAGAAGATGCTGAGCTGGGGACTGCTATTGCCCTGATCAAAACACATGATCTAGATTCTGGATTTAATGGAGAAATCCTATGCCAACTAAAAGGAAAGTTTCCCTTTAAAATCGTTCAAGATACCAGAAACACATACAGGTTGGTGACAGATGGAGCCCTGGACCGGGAGCAGATCCCAGAATACAATGTGACGATCACAGCTACCGACAAAGGCAATCCACCGCTCTCCTCCAGCAAGACCATCACTCTGCACATCCTTGATGTCAACGACAACGTTCCAGTTTTCCACCAGGCCTCCTACACGGTGCATGTAGCTGAGAACAACCCGCCTGGAGCCTCCATTGCGCATGTTAGCGCCTCGGATCCCGACTTGAGACCTAACGGCCTTGTCTACTACTACATCGTGGCCAGTGACCTGGAGCCGCGGGAGCTGTCGTCCTACGTGTCCGTGAGCGCGCAGAGCGGGGTGGTGTTCGCGCAGCGAGCCTTCGACCACGAGCAGCTGCGCGCCTTTGAGCTCACGGTGCAGGCCCGCGACCAGGGCTCGCCGGCGCTCAGCGCCAACGTGAGCCTGCGGGTGTTGGTGGGCGACGGCAACGACAATGCACCGCGGGTGCTGTACCCAGCTCTGGGGCCCGACGGCTCTGCGCTCTTCGATATGGTGCCGCGCGCTGCAGAGCCTGGCTACCTGGTGACCAAGGTGGTGGCGGTGGACGCAGACTCGGGACCCAACGCCTGGCTGTCCTACCACATTCAGCAGCCTAGCGAGCCCGAGCTGCTCAGCCTGGGGCTGCGCACCGGTGAGGTGCGCACGGCGCGTACCTTGGGCGACAGGGAGGCCGCCCGCCAGCGCCTGCTGGTCACTGTTTGTGATGGAGGACAGCCGCCTCTTTCAGCCACCGTCACGCTGCGCCTAATCTTCGCAGATAGCTTGCCAGAGATACAACCTGACCTTAGCGACCGTCCCACTCCCTCTGACCTTCAGGCAGTACTAGTTTCACCTAGTAGTGGCGTTGGCCTTGATCTCAGTGCTCTTCCTCCTCGCGGTGATTCTGGCCATCGCCCTGCCCCTGCGACGCTCTTCCAGACCCGCCACTGAGGGCTACTTTCAGCCTGGTCTCTACTCCAAGACTGTACCTGGAGTTCTCCCCAACTACAGTGAAAGGACTTTGCTTTATTCCTACAGTCTGTGTGCTGCCTCACATTCCTCAAACACCGAGTTTAAATTTCTCAATATAAAGGCTGAAGATGCTGCACCACAAGATCTGCTATGTGATGAAGCGTCTTGGTTTGAAAGTAATGACAATCCAAAAATGCCTTCTAATTCAGGCAATTTGCAATAGGTGAGTTTCTTCAAACCTTTCCTTCCATAAATATAATTGGATTTCAATTCATTGATTTAGAGATAAAATGTTTACAGATTAAATATTTCCTGATTACATTATTTTATTGATTTTCTGGGTGTGGAGTAGGGTGCCTAGGAAATTCTTTGTAGAATTTCCTGTAGAATATCTCTATGGCAGTTGTTCTTTCATAGAAAGCCTCCTTTTGGTAGTCTTGAAATTTTTGTTAATCCTAATACACTATAATCTGAAACATTTTTAATACAGTATTGTCTCACACTGTCATTTTCAGACATATCTATCCAGAATTAGACACAAATCTGCACAATTAAGTGGTTTACTTAGCTTTAATGCAGTCAATCCTAAAGTATATTAAACATAATGTATATCTTAAGGCATTTTTAATGTAACCTATATATAATATTTTTACTTCCCTTTGCATGTTTTTTAAAGTATACACAGATGTTGCCTGTGTCAGGGCAGTTTTTAATTTCTATGCTAATCAAAAGAAATAATGGATCTCAAATGGCAACTCTTGTATTGGGTTCTATAGTGAATTGGTTCAAAATGTGTTTGTGTAGCATATGCCTGTAGTCCCAGCTACTCGGGAGGCTGAGGTGGGAGGATCCCTTGACCCCAGAAGGTTGCGGCTGCAATGATCTATAATTGTGCCCCTGCAGTCTAGCCTGGGAGACAGAGAGAGAGTTTGTCTCAAAAAAATGTGTCTGTGGTTGTTGGTACCCTTATTGAAAGTGGGACTAGTGTAAATGGTGGTGAAATATGATAATTCAAAATTTACAGAAGATTGTAATATTATTTCTGTTCCCCAAGATCCTAAGAGATATTTTCATAAAAATGAATGGTAAACATCAGAGAACATTTAAAATTATTCAGAATAATCTCTTGCACTCTTCTAAATGCTTCATTGTCTTGGGAAGGGAGATATTATGAGTGTCATCTATGCAGATTTAGCAGAAATAAAAGCCTCTGTATGATAGTTTCACAAAACGATGCAGTATTAAGTTAGGACTCTGAGCGTCGCTGTTCACTAACCCGGGCAAGAAAATCAACGCAAACTTGAGTTAACATCCTCCAACCACAAAGCAAATCAGACAGGAAAGCAGGAAAGCTGTGCGGAAATTCTGACCTGAAACGCTTCGCATCCGGTCTCTGCTTGTTGAAGGAACTTCACTGCTATTTCTGAGAAGAGCAAAAGTGATGAAGACCTGTTTTTCCTCTTCTTAATCCCAGAGAAGTCTCTAATAAGCCAGTAATGGCGCCTCTGCAGAGGCGTCCGCTGCGCAGCGAGCAGGTCCTGCTCCTCACGCTCCTGGGGACGCTGTGGGGGGCCGCGGCAGCGCAGATCCGCTACTCTATTCCCGAGGAGCTGGAGAAAGGCTCCTTCGTAGGCAACATCGCCAAAGACCTGGAACTGGAGCCCCGGGAGCTGGCGGGGCATGGAGTCCGCATCGTCTTCAGAGGTAGGACGCAGCTTTTCTCTCTGAACCCGCGAAGCGGCAGCTTGGTCACCGCGGGTAGAATAGACCGGGAGGAGCTCTGTGCTCAGAGCCCGCGGTGTCTGGTGAGTTTTAACATCCTTGTCGAGGATAAACTGAATCTTTATCCCGTGGAAGTGGAAATAGTGGACATTAATGACAATACACCCCAATTCTTAAAAGAAGAATTGGAAGTGAAAATTCTCGAAAATGCAGCTCCATCCTCTCGTTTTCCACTAACGGAGGTCTATGACCCTGATGTGGGAATAAACTCCCTTCAGGACTTTAAGCTCAGTGGTAATAGTCACTTCTCAGTGGACGTGCAAAGCGAAGGCCATGGGCCCAAGTACCCGGAGCTGGTGCTGGAGGGCACCCTGGACCGGGAAGGAGAAGCCGTTTACCACCTGGTCCTTACTGCCATGGATGGCGGTGACCCTGTCCGCTCAAGCGTTGCCCGAATTCTGGTAACAGTTGTAGATGTGAATGACAACGCTCCAGTGTTTACTCAGCCTGTCTACCGTGTAAGTGTTCCTGAAAACCTGCCAGTAGGCACACCAGTGTTGGCAGTAAATGCCACCGACCAGGATGAAGGAGTCCACGGGGAAGTAACTTACTACTTTGTGAAGATTACAGAAAAGATCTCACAAATTTTCTGTTTGAATGTTTTGTCTGGAGAAATTTCAACTTCTGCAAATCTAGACTATGAGGAATCGAGATTTTATGAGCTGGGTGTTGAAGCCCGGGATCAGCCAGGTCTTCGAGACAGAGCGAAAGTCTTAATAACTATCTTGGATGTCAATGATAATGTACCAGAAGTGGTTGTTACATCTGGAAGCAGAACAATTGCTGAAAGTGCACCTCCAGGAACAGTCATCGCTCTTTTTCAAGTGTTCGATCGAGACTCTGGCCTGAATGGCCTGGTAACCTGTTCCATCCCGAGAAGTCTCCCATTTGAATTGGAAAAGACAGTTAGCAATTATTATCGATTAGTGACAAATGCAGTTCTAGACCGGGAAGAGGTATCCTTATACAACATTACTGTGACAGCCACGGACAAAGGAACACCACCTCTGTCAACAGAAACAATCATCTCCCTAAATGTGGCAGACACCAACGACAACCCGCCCACCTTCCCCCACTCATCCTACTCAGTCTATGTCCTTGAAAACAACCCCAGGGGCGCCTCCATCTTCTCTGTGAATGCACTGGACCCTGATATGGACCAGAACGCCCGAGTCTCCTACTCACTGGCAGAAGACACCCTCCAGGGGGCGCCCCTGTCCTCCTACGTCTCCATCAACTCCGACACTGGGATTCTGTACACCCTGCGCTCCTTCGACTATGAGCAGTTGAGAGACCTACAGCTGTGGGTGACAGCCAGCGACAGCGGGGACCCGCCTCTTAGCAGCAACGTGTCACTGAGCCTGTTTGTGCTGGACCAGAATGACAATGCGCCCGAGATCCTGTATCCCGCCATTCCCACAGACGGTTCCACCGGCGTGGAGCTGGCGCCCCGCTCCGCAGAGCCTGGCTACCTGGTGACCAAGGTGGTGGCGGTGGACAGAGACTCGGGCCAGAACGCCTGGCTGTCTTACCACCTGCTCAAGGCCAGCGAACCGGGACTGTTCGCGGTGGGACTGCACACGGGCGAGGTGCGCACGGCTCGGGCCCTGCTGGACAGAGACGCGCTCAAGCAAAGCCTCGTGGTGGCCGTCCAGGACCACGGCCAGCCCCCTCTCTCCGCCACTGTCACGCTCACCGTGGCTGTGGCCGACAGCATCCCAGAAATCCTGGCCGACCTGGGCAGCCTGGAGCCCTCCGACGGTTCTCACAACTCTGACCTCACGCTGTACCTGGTGGTGGCGGTGGCTGTGGTCTCCTGCGTCTTCTTGGCCTTCGTCATCGTGCTGCTGGCGCTCAGGCTGCGGCGCTGGCACAAGTCACGCCGGCTGCAGGCTTTGGGAGGTGGCTTGGCGAGCATGCCCGGCTCACACTTTGTGGGCGTGGACGGGGTTCGGGCTTTCCTGCAGACCTATTCCCACGAGGTCTCACTCACTGCAGACTCGCGGAAGAGTCATCTGATCTTCCCCCAGCCCAACTATGCGGACACGCTCATCAGCCAGGAGAGCTGTGAGAAAAGCGAGTCTCTTCTCATAACTCAGGATTTACTTGAAACGAAAGGAGACCCCAGGCGACTTCAGGTGAGTTTCTTTCCAGGCGGAAGCGGAAGAGTAATCTGATCTTCCCGCCACCCAACTATTTAGAGACACTCATCAGCCAGGATGGCTGTAAGAGAAGTGAACCTCTTTTGGTACAGGAAGATTCGTGATTTTGTAAAGTGGAAGACTCCCTTGTTCAGGTGAGGGAATTGTTTTTATTGGTTGGCATGAAAATTAAAGATTATCTTTGAATAGTGCTTAATTTTCTTAGTCCTTTGCAGGGAATCACATAATTCTAATGTTTTTCTTTTATATCAAAAGAATGTTCTGATGTCTTAATTTTGTGGGGGGAAAATAATGCATGTCCTAGTTTTTCTTTACCTTTCTCTTCTTGGCAAACTATTTATGTCTTGGATTGAGTACATCTCGTTTCTTAGGTTTTCTCCTATTATGTGACATTTGTAAGTTTCTTTCTTTTTCTAATGTGGGGAAAAATAATCTTAATTTAGGTCAGTGTTATCAAGATCTTGGTTTTAGCTAGCATGGTGGCTCACACCTGTAATCCCACCTCTTCAGGAGGCTGAGACGGGAGGACCCCTTGAGGCCAGGAGTTTGAGACCAGCCTAGGCAACATAGCACCACTCTGTCTCTCCCAAAAAGAAAAAAAAAATTAGCCAGATGTGTGGTGTACACCTGTAGTCCCAGCTACTCGAGAAGCTCTGATAGGAGGATTGCTTAAGTCCAGGGGTTTGAGGCTGCAGTGAGATATAATTGTGTCACTGCGCCCTAGCCTGGGAGACAGAATGAGTCTCTCTCTCTCTCTCTCTCTCTCTCAAAAAAAAAAAAGATTTTATTTTTTTCGGTGTTACTTAATAATTGTAAATGATGGAGGTTCATACAAGAGATCTTTCACCTTTACTACTTAGGAATCAAAAATTATTTTTAAAAAGATAAGAATCGTTGGTAACTGCAGCAGGGAGCACCTGATCTTTGGCGTTAAAAGACTTGAATAACATTCCTGTAACTATCTGTCATTTACTTGGGCCAGTTACAATCGCCATTATCTTCCAACTAAAATTAAGACTTAAAAGACTTCCCTTATTAGAGATGGGATGTCCCTCTGTTGCCCAGTCTATTGTAAAAATCCACTTCTAACTGCTGCTCATAGAGTGTGTATCCAGGACAACTTAAATCTATGTTCCTGGGATGCAATCCTAAAGCTTGGCCCAAATAAGCTCTACTTATATTATTTTTTAAAACAAGACTTTCCTTATCTATCTGACTGAAATTCTAAGAAAATAATTTTATAACTTTTTTTTAAACTATAAAGCAGCATAGTGAACAAGTATTTGTTGACATCACCGTTATTATAATTATTCGGTTGTTAAGAAGTAACTAAGCCCCCGATGCTGTGTGCCTACTACGATGTCTTTTGCATATTGTGTGCCTGATAGTATTTAAGAGTGAAAATGACTGGGTGCAGTGGCTCACACCTGTAATCCCAACACTTTAGGAGGCCGCGGTGGGGGGCTCACAAAGTCAGGAGTTCAAGACCAGCCTGACCAACATGGTGAAACCCTGTCTCTACTAAAAATACAAAAATTAGCCGGGTGGGGTGGCATGGGCCTGTAATCCCAGCTGCTCAGGGGGTGAGGCAGGAGAATCCCTTGAACCCTGGAGGTGGAGGTTGCAGTGAGTCAAGATCGCACCACTGCACTCCAGTCTGGGTGACAGAGTGAGACTCTGTCTCAAAAAATACTACTAATAATAAATAAATAAAGAGTGAAAATGAATTTTAAAACATGCTTGGTAGTGTCTGCTTACAGGACATATCTCTAAAAATAATGACTGGTGAATGGGAGAACAAATGTTAATGAGGTTCAAATAAATAAAAATTTAAATATTTTAGCATTTTAACCCAGACAATAAGGCTTCCATCACATAGTAACTGTTTATTGAAATATTTCAAGAAAAAGGGGATTATCATTTAGAAGACTGATTGGTCTTATTTATTATGACTGAAATGTGCAAACAAAATCATTGTTTCATGAACAGAAAACAGCAAAGTTTTTGACTATCAATGATGTTCGAATAGAAAATGGATCACTAAGGAGATAGGAGATTCTGTTACCGGCAGTCTTCAAAAGCAAGTTGATGGCCCTGGAATTAATGGAGTACAGGGAATTTTATAATTTGATGACTTGTTGAACTACATTATAGTCAAGATATTTTTCCAGTCATGAGTTGGAAGATTCTACAATCTAGTGGCATTATAGAATGGATTGGCCACTTGTACATCTGAATTTGTTATGAATGTGTAAGAAAAAAGTAATTGAGATGATACCTTGAAAATAAATGGAACCTCCTTTGTAACCTGACTTTGTCAGTCTTCATAAAGATAACATTGAGTTGATGTGTTTTTAAATAAGGTGCTAAGAGTAATATGTGTTTTTCTAAACCAATATTGTGGTATTTACATTTAAGGAATTATTATAGATTTATTTATCTCAAGTTTCCAAATGTGTATACCTAACCAAGAGATCTAATCATACACATCTTCAAAAGCTCATTTTTTTGTATCTTTGTGATATACTTTGATAAAATAACAATTTTAAACAACTTGAATCTTGGATATTAGTCTCGTGAGTTAGATGGGCTGTTATATGTATGATTACTTCATAAACTCTGAAAGTGTGAATGTCATTTTATTATACCACCAATTTGGGATGTTAAACTACATCTTGAGCTTTCGTTGTTACAGGGAAAGCTCACTAACTACTTTTCATGGAGACCACACTGGTTTATTTTATTCTCTTTTTACCTGTGACCATTTCATTTAAACAAATAAAACATTTCACTGATGGAAAAACTACCAAATTCTACTCTAGCAAAAGTCATTCATTCATGTGGACTGACCAACTGTTAAACATCCTGGCAATCATGGAATTTGCTAAGTTCTGACTAAATGAGGTTCTTTAATCCACCTGCAATACAGATCATTAATAATAAGATAGGCTATCTGAGGTTTTGACAGTTCATTATAGAATTTTGAAACATCAGGAAAAAAACTACCAAATTATTGTCTTATTTTATGGTCTGTGAAAGCCTTTTTTTTTTTTAAAGACAGAATCTTGCTCTGTGTCCCAGGCTGGAATGCAGTGGTGTAATCTCAGCTCACTGAAACTTCCTCCTCCCTGATTCTCCTGCCTCAGCCTCCCAAGTAGCTGGGATTACAGGTGCATTCCACCATGCCTAGCTAATTTTCATACTTTTAGTAGACATGGGGTTTTACCATGATGGCCAGGCTGGTCTCAAACTCCTGACCTTAAGTGATCCACCCGCCTCAGCCTCCCAGAGTGCTAGGATTACAGGTGTGAGCCACTGAGCCTGGACTGAAAGGCATTCATTTCTGATCAGGCTTCTGTTGAGGTAGTAATTGTCAAAGGGGAAGGAGTAAAATCTCAGAGGAGAAACATTGGAAAATACCTTTATCTTTGCTTGAGAATGAAAATCTAAATGGAACTTCAAAGAACTGTTTTGTTGTTTGTTAGTTTTTTAGTTAAAAAAAAAAAAAGTCCCAAAAAGAAAAGAGAGAAGGTAATCAATTCAATGCCCAGGAAGCCAAATAGACTTTACATAGAATTCTTTTTAATGCAACCAAACAAATGGTTAGGATTCTTCCCAATATCTTAGTCAACAATAATATACACTCTTTAAACTATGAAATGATTTCAATTTGATATAATGAGCTTATGTCAGATTTTATTAAACATGTTTTGGTGGTCTAGTAAAGATCTTTAATATTTAATTTTATGATGTTCAAGAACTTAGAAAATGTGAATGCTAGAGATGATGAAGCCATTTACTCCATACAGTATGTATGCTTTGTGTTCAGAGTAGTCTATAATTTAATTTAACTAGATCTTATTTCTTTTTCTCCAAAGAAGGTACCAAGACACAATAAGTTAATTGAGACTTTTTTAAAACAGTAGAATAAGAAACAAATGTGAGATGAAACTATGAATTCTGAGGCATCAGGTAGAAATGGATCAAGACATTGAGAGCTATAACCTCCAAACATGGAAGTTTGTTTGAAAATGTCTACAACAAGCACTTATGTTGTTTAATAATCATACACTTTGCTTGCCTCAACAAGAATCTCAAAAGTACTATTAAACAAATAGAATTTAACTCCAGTTTACAGAATTCATCTGTAATATCTCTATTAGTTCCTTTAAACAAAATTTGTCTACTTTGTGAATGCAAAGATAACTATGGATTATTTTGATAGATGGAAACATAATCTCCTGCAAAGTATTCCCTGTATTCTGGAGCAATGCCACCAGAAAGCAGAAATAGGTTACTTAGGAGACCCCCACAAAACTAAGTTAAGCTTTCTTAGTGTTAGTTCTGGATTCTCCTGGTTCCACCAGCTACTCTCTAGGACCTAAAATAATTTACAAACCAAGACTGTTTCTTGCCAGGTCTTTATTCCAGAGCAGGTCATTCTCTTTTATTCTGCAACTGTGTGAAAGGAGCTTTCTTTTCTTTCTGCTAGCAGAGGGTAGCCTCGGATCCATCAATAATTTAGTTTTACTCTATCAACATCAGTGGAGAGACGAGTACCTCTAAGGATCCTCTGAGGACAGTCCTGCATTTTGCTCAAATGCTGTCTAGAGATCCCTGTTTTCTCAATTACACTAGAATAGAGTAGGTTGAAGATTTGAATTGCATACTAGGATGAAGAGTTGAAATGAATTGCATAATGAAAAGAATCAACCAATCCATTATCCACTTTCTTATGAATTCACAGCCCAGTAGGATCTCTGCAGATTTCTGCCTTCTGTAGAAAATGGGTTGCTTTATAGCTGATTGTTGCAGCCAAGACAAACAATGATTTCTTTCTTTTTTTTCTCACAAGACTGTGAGTGAGAATATTTGGATTCCGACATTGTTCTACTACCATATAATCCATAATCAGGAACAAGGCAATTCCTTTCTCTCTCTGTCTCTCTCTGTCTCTCTCTCTCTCTCTCTCTCTCTCAAAAAAAAAAAAGATTTTATTTTTTTCGGTGTTACTTAATAATTGTAAATGATGGAGGTTCATACAAGAGATCTTTCACCTTTACTACTTAGGAATCAAAAATTATTTTTAAAAAGATAAGAATCGTTGGTAACTGCAGCAGGGAGCACCTGATCTTTGGCGTTAAAAGACTTGAATAACATTCCTGTAACTATCTGTCATTTACTTGGGCCAGTTACAATCGCCATTATCTTCCAACTAAAATTAAGACTTAAAAGACTTCCCTTATTAGAGATGGGATGTCCCTCTGTTGCCCAGTCTATTGTAAAAATCCACTTCTAACTGCTGCTCATAGAGTGTGTATCCAGGACAACTTAAATCTATGTTCCTGGGATGCAATCCTAAAGCTTGGCCCAAATAAGCTCTACTTATATTATTTTTTAAAACAAGACTTTCCTTATCTATCTGACTGAAATTCTAAGAAAATAATTTTATAACTTTTTTTTAAACTATAAAGCAGCATAGTGAACAAGTATTTGTTGACATCACCGTTATTATAATTATTCGGTTGTTAAGAA